ACTAGTGAGTCTGCACTCTCAGGTACTGTGTCGGCTTCGGCCTCTCACACCTTCACCCTTGACTCTGGGGCGTCTCGCTCCTTCTATCGGGACTGCACCACTCTCACGCCGCTTAGTCGGCCGGTTGCAGTGTCCCTGGCTGACCCCTCTGGGGGTCCTGTCCTGTCTCGTTTCTCCACAGTCCTCCCGTGTCCGGCGGCTCCCTCTGGCACCCTGACTGGTCTCTACCTCCCCTCGTTCTCTACGAACCTGGTGAGTGGTGCTGACCTACAGGATGTGGGTGTCCACCAGTTCACTCTTGCTCGTCAGCGGGTGACACACTGCACAGAGGCTAGCACAGGTCGCCACCTAGCTACGTTTACACGTCAGCCAGGGTTGAGCCTGTACACACTGACCACTGCTTCTCCTCCAGGTGCTGAGTCTGGTAGAGTCCCTTCGTCTGGTCAGATGTTTGCTGCAGCGTCCAGGTCTGGTCCTGAGTCTGCCCCCTGTTCGTGTCGCCGTCTGTCTCACGAGACCCTCCTCTGGCACCACCGCCTTGGCCACCCCTCTCTGCTTCGGCTCAGAGGCATGGCCTCCCGTCTCCTTGTGTCTGGTCTCCCCCGGTCCCTCCCTCCCCTTCCTCAGGGCCCTGGCCCTGCCTGTGTCCCCTGTGTCGAGGGGCGCCAGCGTGCTGCCCCTCACTCCTCCCAGTTTCCTCCGACAGAGGCTCCGTTGCAGACGCTTCACATGGACGTGTGGGGCCCTGCCCGCGTCCGTGGACTCGGTCACGAGCGCTACTTCCTGTTGGTGGTTGACGACTACTCGCGTTACACCACAGTCTTCCCCTTGCGCAGCAAGGGTGATGTCACTGAGGTGCTGATCGACTGGATCTGCGCAGCTCGTCTCCAGCTCAGGCAGAGCTTTGGCTCGGACTTTCCTGTGTTGCGTCTGCACTCGGACAGAGGCGGAGAGTTCTCCTCTGGCCTTCTACGTGCCTTCTGTCGTGCGCGAGGCATCCGCTAGACCTTCACGCTTCCGGACTCACCGCAGCAAAATGGGATTGCAGAGCGTCGCATTGGCATGGTCATGGACGTCGCTCGTACGTCTATGATGCATGCGGCTGCCCCCCATTTTCTGTGGCCGTTTGCGGTCAGGTACGCGGCGCATCAGATCAACCTCCACCCCAGGGTCTCCAGGCCGGAGACCTCCCCAGCCCTGCTATGGACGGGGAAGGTTGGCGATGCGTCGGCGTTACGGGTCTGGGGATCTCGGGCGTTTGTCCGCGACTTGTCTGCGGACAAGCTGTCCCCTCGCGCTGCTCCCTGCGTCTTCCTGGGGTTCCCCCCCGACGCCCCTGGGTGGCAGTTCTACCACCCCACCTCTCGACGTGTTCTGTCCTCCCAGGACGTCACGTTCGACGAGTCGGTACCCTACTACCGCCTCTTCCCCTACCGCACTCCGTCCCTCCCCCCGCCCCCGCTCTTCTTGATACCAGGTCCCCCCCCGGTCGACCCCCTCCCCCCTCAGGGTCCTGCCCCTTCAGGTGTGTCCCAGGTAGACGCGGTCGAGCTTGTCGAGGTCACTGGTGACTCTGGTGCTGCTGCGGGAGCTGAGCCTAGGGGTGCTGGTACTGGGGGTGCTACGCCTGGGGGTGCTGAGCCTGGGGGTGCTGAGTTTGGGGGTGCTGAGCCTGGGGGTGCTGAGCTTGGGGGTACTGAGTCTGGGGTTGCTGAGCCTGGGGGTGCTGGGCCTGGGGGTGCTGAGACTGGGGGTGCTGAGACTGGGGGTGCTGAGCCTGGGGGTGCTCCGCCTGGAGGTGCTTTGCCTGAGGGTGCTGAGCCTGGAGGTTCTCCGCCTGGAGGTGCTTCGTCTCACCGGGAGCCACTCTCCCCACAGGAGCTGCGTGAGTGGTTTGCCCGGCGCTGGAGGCGTGCTGCTGGTGCTGGAGGTTCTTCGGCTGCAGAGGGTGCTGCTGCAGCGCGTCCCGGAGGTGCTTGTGCTGTGGGTACTGGAGCTGCTGGGCCTGAGGGTTCTCCTGGAGCTAGTGCTCCTGAGGGTGTTGGCGCTGAGACTACCGCTGGCGGTCCGACTGGCAGTGCTCCTGGTGCTGCTGGGGGTTCCGGAGCTGCTGGAGGTGCTGCTGGAGGAGCTGCTGGAGCGGGTACTCCTGCTGGGTGTACTGGTGCTGTCCCTGCTGTTTCTGGCGTTGCCACGCGGCCCCGACCGTACTTGGTTCCGCTCCTGCAGCAGGTTCTTGGTCTTACACCTTCTCTTGGTCCTCCTCCTCCTCCCTTAGAGGGTCCACAGCCAGTCCCGTCACAGTCACAGCTACAGCCTGCCTCCCCTTTGCCTGCTCCTTCTCCCTACGCTGGTCCGACTGGAGGTCTTACTGAGCGTCGTGAGCCTGCGTCTCGTCCTGCGTCGCCTGTTCGTACTGCGCGCACTAGTGGTCGCGGTTCGCGTCAGCGTCCTCCTCCTGTCCTTGGCACGCACCGGATGTCTCTGCGTCCGTCCACTGCTCCTCTGCGTGCCCCTTTGCCTTCTCCTCCTGCTTCCTCTCTTCCTGCTCTTGCCGACCCGGAGTCGGACTCTCTTCGTGCTGCCAGTCCTACTGTCACGCGTCTCCTTGCTACTGCTGTCACTGACCCTTCTTTCGAGTCTTCTGCTGCGTCTGCCCTTGTCACTGAGCTCGTCGACTTTGCTGCGCGCTGTCGTCTAGACTACGCTGCTAGTCTTGTCGCTGAGTCTGAGTATGCCTGTCCTCCGTCCGTCGGGGGTGAGTGTGCCCTTGGCACGGACGTCCTTGAGGACAGGCAGGAGGAGTTCCAGTGTCTGGCCGCCGCTTCACCTCATCTCGCGTCTGTACTGCTAGCCCCTGAGGGAGACCCGGATGCACTTGACATCCCGACTCCGCGCTCTTACGCGGAGGCGATAGAGGGTCCCCACTCCTCTCAGTGGCAGGCAGCTATGGATGCAGAGATGGCTTCCTGGAAGTCCACAGGTACCTACGTTGACGCTGTTCCCCCTCCTGGGGCGAACATTGTCAGTGGCATGTGGATCTTCAGGGTGAAGCGGCCGCCGGGTTCTCCGCCTGTCTTCAAGGCGCGTTACGTGGCTCGTGGCTTCAGTCAGCGGCAGGGAGTTGACTACTTTCAGACCTTCTCCTCTACCCCGAAGATGACCACTCTTCGGGTACTGCTGCACCTTGCTGCTCAACGTGACTACGAGCTGCACTCTCTCGACTTCAGCACTGCTTTCTTGCAGGGCAGCCTGCACGAGGAGATCTGGCTGCGTCGCCCACCTGGCTTCACTGGGTCTTTCCCTCTTGGTACCCAGTGGAGTCTCCGGCGTCCAGTCTACGGTCTCCGCCAGGCGCCACGTGAGTGGCACGACACACTGAGGACTACACTGGCGGCACTCGGGTTTGCTCCTTCTACTGCCGACCCGTCGCTGTTTCTATGCACCGACACCTCTCTGCCGCCGTTCTACATCCTCGTGTACGTCGACGACTTGGTCTTTGCCACAGCTGACACTGCTGGACTCGCCTACGTGAAGTCCGAGCTGCAGAAGAGACACACGTGCACTGACCTGGGTGAACTGCGCAGCTACCTTGGCTTGCAGATCACCCGGGACAGAGCACGCCGCACCATTACCCTGACTCAGTCACACATGGTGCAGCAGGTCCTTCAGCGCTTCGGCTTCATGTACTCCTCGCCTCAGGCAACTCCTCTGCCTACTCGCCACTCGCTCTCAGCTCTGCCTTCGGATGAGTCCGTAGAGTCGAGTGGCCCGTATGCAGAGCTTGTTGGCTGCCTCATGTACCTAATGACCTGCACACGACCAGACCTTGCATACCCTCTTAGCATTCTCGCACGCTATGTTGCTCCTGGGAGACACGGACCGGAGCACATGGCTGCAGCGAAGAGGGTGTTGCGCTACTTGTGCAGTACGTCGGGCATGGGGCTAGTGCTTGGAGGGCGCAGTCCAGTGGTCCTCACTGGGCACGCGGACGCTTCTTGGGCTGACGACCAGGCTACGCAGCGGTCGTCACAGGGTTACACCTTCAGCCTTGGTTCTGGCTCTGTTTCGTGGCGGGCTACCCGCTCGTCTTCTGTTCTCGGCTCCAGTTGTGAGGCTGAGATCTACGCCGGGGCTATGGCTGCACAGGAGTTACGCTGGCTCACCTACCTGCTGACCGACCTTGGAGAGCCGCCTCGTTCTCCTCCAGTCCTGTACGTAGACAACAAGGCCATGCTGGCCTTGTGTCGAGAGCAGCGACTGGAGCACAGGACAAAGCACATTGCTCTCCGCTACTTTCTTGCTCGTGAGCTACAGCAGCGTGGACAGTTGCGACTTGCGTACGTGGCCTCTGAGGCCAACACTGCTGATGTCTTCACCAAGGCACTTGCGCCTTGTGATCATCAGCGTTGCTGCACGCAGTTGGGTCTTGTGCCTGTCTTGCCTCACTTGCTCACTTCTTGACCTTACTTGTACCTTCATCTGTATATACTCTTGCTCTTGCTTGCTTGACTCTTGTATATCTCTATATATGATCTTGCATGTGAACTGGCCTTCTGGCCTTTGAGCTTGTGCTCGGAATGTGTGGTGACTTTGTGATCCACCCTGAGCTTTGCTTTGCTTTGCTTGACTGGTCTTGTGACCCCTTGTTCTCCCCCACTTTGCCTATGGGGGTGTGTCATAACATTATAGCTTACTTATTTGTGTAGGCTATAGTGGGGTATCCCATAGGGGGTACAACCCAATTAGGGTTTCCTATTTGTACTCACTTCATTCAAAGTTCATTCATTCTCGTTCACTTCTTCTCAAAGTGGCCTCGCGCCTTCTCGTGCGCCCGGCGCATTCGGGGCGTCGTATAAATCGAAAAATGCCCCTTTCCGCACTCCCCCATCCCCAATTCCTCTTCCCCATTCCCCGTTCCACATCCCCCGTTCCGCATTCCCCCTTTCGCATTTCCCCATCCGCATTCCCCGTTCCGCATCCCCCCTTCTGCATTCCCCCTACCGCATTCCCCCTTCCGCCTTCCCCTTCCACCTTCCCCCTTTCCGCGTTCCCCCTTCCGCGTCCCCCCTTCTGCGTTCCCCCTTCCGCATTCCCCCTTCCGCGTTCCCCCTTCCGCATTCCCCCTTCCGCATACCCCCTTCCGCGTACCCCCTTTTGATGGTCTGCATGCTCCTGCTGGTCCACACACCCATCACCCCTCCTCTCCAATCCATTCCTGCCATGCCCACCATGTCCCCCATGCATATCGAAAGCTCGGTCGCCGTCCATCTGGGTAGGACGGAAGGGAGGGAAGGGAGGAAGGGAGAGAAGGGAGGGAAGTCCGAGAAGGGAGGGAAGGGAGAGAAGGGAGGGAAGGGAAGCAGGGAGAGTGAGGGAGAGAAGGGCGGGAAGGGAGAGAAGGGAGGGTTGGGAGAGAAGGGAGGGAAGGGAGAGAAGGGAGGGAAGGGGAGCAGGGAGAGCAAGGGAGAGAATGGGAAGAGTTGGGGAGTTGGGAGGGAAGGGAGAGGTGTACGGGAGGTGGGTAGAGGAGTGCGGGAGGTGGGGAGAGGAGCTCGGGAGGTGGGGAGAGGAGTGCGGGAGGTGGGGAGAGGAGCACGGGAGATGGGGAGAGGAGAACGGGAGGTGGGGAGAGGAGCACGAGAGACGAGGAAAGGAGTGCGGGAGGCGGGGAGAGGAGCACGGGAGGCGGGGACAGGAGTGCGGGAGGCGGGGAGAGGAGAACGGATGGCGCGGGGAGGAGATCGGATGGCGAGCGCGTGAGAACGGGAGGCGTGTGCCTGGATCGGGACTTGGGTAGAGGAGAACGGGATGCGGGAACGTGCGAACAGGAGTTGGGACGATTTTTTACGGATGGAGGGAGGGAGAGATAGAGAGGCGGGCAATCGAATCTGCGAAGCGGGAAGGGAAGAGGTGCATGCGGGAAAGGGGCACACGCCAGGCGGATTTGAGAGTGTGGGAGGCGGTAATAAGATCTCGTATTGAGGCGGGATGGGAGTAGGGAAGTTCCGCTAAGCTAGAGGGAACGTGTCCCGGATCGGAAGCTTGGGTCGCGCACACACCTGTGGCTTGTTCAGATATTGCGGAAACGGGCACGCCCTTCCAGCGTGCTGCGCGCGACAAGTACCGATTCTACAAGTGCGTATGGCTAATCGGAACTCCGCGGAGTCGCTCGTCATATTCTTAGCGGCGTTAAGAACTAGTTTGATGGGACTGCGCCAAGCCGCGTTCGGCTAAGAGGGACTGCAGCTTGGCGCGGCGGGAAATTTCCTACTGTAGGCGTGGTCTGCGTTCGAATCCTGGCATTTCGGCGCCTATCGCGCGCGCGGCGACGGCACGAGCTCTGCCGTGGTTCAGCGTCTGTGCGCAGAGATGAGGCACTAGCGGGTCAAGGCCGAGGGGAAGGCACGGCGTAGGGTACGTGGAATGGTATGCGAGATAGGCGCGGATCCTTCGCGATGGTGTCTGTGTGCTGGCGTGGCGTCCGATTTCCTAAGTAGGGCCAGGTAGGAGGGCTCCCGGGCGCCTGACGTCGACGTTAGCGCGACGCCAAGCACGCGCGACCCTTTTCGCTTGAGTGTTCACATGTGCGTTGAGGAGTGGCGAGTGATCTGCCACAGCCCCAATCACCTCTCCTTCGAGTGTCCCGACCGCAGTGACTCCGACGACGACGACAAGGGCGGCCGCGGGAGGTCGAGCAGTCGTCGTCCTCATCGAGGAGGAAACCGGCCGCGCAAGGAGAAGCAGTCGACCAAGATGTCGACTTCGGCGAAGGACGCCGACTCCCCTGCTGGCGGCAAGGCGCGGGATGACAAGACGGCGTCGTGCTCGCTGGTCGGCGTCGTGGAGCCGACTGTCTCGCTGGCGCCGGAGGCCGGAGAGGACTTCCAGGCGGTGGCGGCAGCTGTGCAGGCGAACCCGGCGGTGGTCCCGCTCGACAGCGGTTGCCCCCACCACCTGATGGGGACAAAGGAAGCCTTCGTCAACCTGCAGCCGAGCGGCGCCATCAGGCATGTGCGCGGCTTCAATGGGGCGCTGCAGGACGTCCAGGGCCGTGGCACCGTCGCCCTACAAGGGGAGGCCGAGAAGAAGGTACTCATCCCCAACGTACTGTATGTCCCGGGTGTGCGGGCCAACCTGCTGTCGTCCGGCCAGCTGAAGGAGCACGGCGTGAAGCTGCAGGAGGACGGAGAGGGAATGATGCTCGTCTTTGCAGCCGGAGTGGTGCTCGGTCGGGCGACGTACTCCGGGCGCGTCCTCTGCACCGACCTGCGTCCCTGCTCAACGAGGTCGACGTCGCCCACGACGGAGGTTGTGGCTCTGCGGGCGATCGTCTTGAAGACGAAGTCGACGCCGAACTGGATGCATGCGCGGCTTGCACATGTCGGCATGGACACCATACGGAGCTCGGCGAAGAACGAGGTTGCCATTGGGCTGGACCTCAAGTCGGCGACGGACGCCGACTCGCCGTGTGTCTCGTGCGTCGGCGGGAAGCTGGCGCGGCACACCTTCCCCAACCAAGGCTCTGACGCCGACGACGTGCTGGCCGTCGTGCACATCGACCTGTGCGGACCGTTCCGCGTGGCTGCCAAGGATGGCAGCCTGTACTTCTTGTTGCTGAAGGACCGCAAGACCCGCTACGTGTGGGTGAAGCCGGTCACCAAGAAGTCAGATACGTTGCCGGTGTTCGTGCAGTGGCTGGCGGTGGCTGAGCGGCAGACGAAGAAGTCGGTGTTGATGCTGCGCTCTGACCGGGGAGGGGAGTTCCTCGGGAAGCAGTTCACCGACTTCGTGAACGGCAAGGGGATCGTTCACGACCTGGCCTGCCCATACACCCCGCAGCAGAACGGCATGACGGAGCGGGAGATGAGGACGGTGGTGGAGTCGGTGCGGACAATGCTGCTGCACATGGGCGTGCAGCACCACTGGTGGCACCTCGCTCTCCGGCAGGCCGTCTGGATCCGCAACTGCCTTGAGAGGTCGGCGCTGCCGCCGGGGACGACGCCGTACCAGCTGCTGACCGGGAAGAAGCCCGACTTGTCGCTGGCGCGGGTGTGGGGCTGCATGGCGCAGTTCTTAGTCTCCGAGCAGCAGCGTGGTGGGAAGCTGCAGCCGAAGGCCAGGTGGGGCCTGCACCTTGGCGTGTCGACGGCGAGCAAGGGCTGCGAGCTCCTCGACGTCGACACCGACCGGGTGGTCACCACGTCGGACGTGGTGTTCTACGAGGAGATGTCGCTGGCCGAGTGGAAGACGGAGTACGGGTCGGTGTCCGGCTGCTCGTCGCCCACCCTGCCCTCTGACACCTCGTCGGCGACGCTGCCACTGCTTGCCGAGGTCGGTGAGCTTGCTATTGAGGACGTCGAGGACGTCCGCCCCCCTACCCCTCCCCCTCCGACCCCTGCCCCTCCCCTCGTGGCCGACCTGCGTGGGCTGACCACGGTATCGGCCTCCGGCGATGAGGGGAGTAGTGGGATGTCGCCTTCGGCCAAGTGCATCGCCGGTGGCCGACGTGACGAGCGGCAGGTCGACGTGAGATTGCAATCGACGTTGACAGGGGAGGAGCAGGTCGAGAAGCAAGTCAAGGACCAGCGGCCGACAAAGGAGCAGGCAGCAGTGACGCCGACCAAGGAGCAGTCGGCGACCGGGCAGTCGGCTGGGACGCCGACCACAGGGGAGAAGTCGGCTGGGACGCCGCCTGAGGAGCAGCAGGACGCCGAGGGCAGCGACAACAGCGACGATGGAGGGGACGCCAAGGAGGTCCAGCCAGGACCACGGCGTTCAGGCCGACTTCGGAGGCCGCCTGACTTCTTCGTCCCCGCTGCCTTCACCACGGTGTACGACGTGGACGATGAGGCCGACGACCTGCTGTACGACGATGCCGAGGAGGATGAGGAGTTTCCAGAGCTCGACCCCGACATGCTAGCCGACCCCGAGCACCGTTGGGACTTCATGACGGTGAAGGAGGCGTTGGCGAGCTGGAAGAGCCCGGCGGTGAAGGCCGCCATGGAGGAGGAGATTTGCAGCCTCCTCAACATGGGAACGTGGGAGCTGGTCGAACGCCCACCGGGAGTGAACGTCATGAAGAACCGGTGGGTGTTGACGACGAAGTACCATGTCGACCACACCGTCGAGCGCGTGAAGGGCTTCACACAGGTGTACGGCGCCGACTACGACGAGACGTTCGCGCCGGTGGGCAGCTACGTCACGCTGAGGATCTTCCTCAGCATCGTCGCCGTCCTCGGCCTTAACCTGATGCAGCTCGACATGAAGAACGCCTTCCTGCAGAGCAAGCTCGATCGGGTGCTGTACATGTCCCAGCCGGACTACTTCAACGACGGATCCGGCCGGGTGTGCAAGCTGCTAAAGAGCCTGTACGGGCTGAAGCAGTCGCCGCTGTTGTGGTACTTGGCGCTCAACAATGTGCTGGTCGGCGCCGGGTGGAAGAAGAGCCAGGTCGACGAGGCTCTCTACTTCAAGGTCGGAAAGGAGGGAGTGGCCAGCAGCAGCGCCGCGATGCTGAAGGAGCTGAAGAAGCTGCTGGAAGCCGCCTTCGAGCTGCGCGAGATCTTGCCGGTGCAAAAGTACCTCGAGCTGGAGATCGTGCGCGACAGGTCGGCGGGGAAGCTGTGGCTGCACCAGCAGGGCTACACCGACAGGCTGCGTAGGCGCTTCATCGACGAGGAGCAGACCGGGCGCACCCCGAAGACGCCGGTCTCGGTCGACGCCTACGCCAAGCTCACCTTCGACGACGAGGAGGCGCAAGAACGCCAGGAAGAGGAGTACCGGCAGAAGGTCGGCTCGTTGCAGTTCGCGGCGACAACGACGAGGCCGGACATCGCCTTTGTCTGCAGCAAGCTGGGGAGCGGCCTCACGGTGAGGAGCGACCAGCACTGGCGCGAGGTCGACCGCTGCCTCGCCTACCTCACCAACACACGCGACACCGCCCTGGAGTTCGGCGGTGGACCTGAGTCGCTGGAGCTGGTCGGCTACGTGGATGCCGATGATGCCGGTGACAAGCAGAACAGGACGAGCACGGGTGGGTACGTGTTCGTCTACGGTGGGGCCGCGGTCTCCTGGTCGAGCCAGCGCATCAAATGCGCGACGCTGTCGTCGACCGAGTCGGAGTACGTTGCGGCCACTGAAGCTGGCAAGGAGGGACGCCGCCTTCGCTTCCTTCTTGCGGAGTTCCGGCAGCTGGACGCCGGGAAGCCGACTGTCCTGCGAGTGGACAACAAGTCGGCTATCACAGTCGCCGAGGGCATGGGGTTGACGGGCAACCTCAAGCACATGGAGCGGCGACAGGCCTGGCTGCAGCACATGGTGAAGCGCGGGAAGTTCTCGCTGCAGTACATCCCGACCGCTGAGCAGTCAGCCGACTTCCTGACGAAGGCGCTGCACTATCCGGCCTTCAACCGGTGCTCCGTCGCAATCGGCCAGGTGCGCTTGGCCGACGTGGGCGACGGCGATAACGACGTGCAGCAGTAGGTGCCATGCCCTCTTTCATGGCTGGTGCGGTGACCGGCGTCCTGTGTGTTGGGTGCACGCCGACGGGCTATTCTCGGAGCTGTACTGCCGTGTGGGCTGGGTGCCCAAGCGTGAACGCGGCAGGGGAGTGTCAACGGGAGGTGTGTGTTGGCCCCGTCCTCGCTTGGGCGGAGCCGACATCGTGGTCGGGTGTTAGGGGAGCAGCCGACCTGTAGCAGTGGGCGAGCTGGTTGACGAGGAGGTCGACTGCACAGGGACCACTGCACGGGCGTCGACTTCAGGGTGGCGCCAACTTCGGGGAGGTCGACTTAGGAGTCGACCTGCGGAGGACGTCAACTTGGTGACGTCAACTTGGGGAAGCCGACTTCGGTGGTCGGCTGATGGACTGCTGGTCGACCTGCGGGTGGTCGACTGGACCTGGTGGTCGACGAAGGAGGGGCCAACGTCGACCTCGACTCAGGACGCCGACCAGTTGGGCGTCGAGTAGCGGGGCGTCAACTTCGTGACGCCGACTTCGGGTGGCCGACGTGGGTGGTCGGCCGACAACTGCGCTGGCCGACTTAGTGCTGGTCGACGTGGAGCTGGTCGACCAGAAGGGACGTCGACCTGGAGGAGGTCGACCGAGGGGCGTGGTCGTCCTGGTGAGGACGACATGGTGGTGGTCGTCGACTTGGGAGGTCGACGGGCACGTACGGGAGCTGCTGGTCGACGTGGTTGCCCGGTCGACCAGGTTACCTGGGTGACGAAGTGCTGCGGAGGAGTGCGACGGTCGCCCAGGCGAAGTTGGCGAGACCGACCTCGGTGGTGGTATCCCGAGGTCGTCGTGGCGGATCAGAGGCAGTTGTCAGCTCGAGGTTGACGTGGTGTGTGCGCTGTGCAGGTGACGAGACTCTGCACGCCAATCATCTGCGCGCACCTGCGAAGCGGGTGCACTGCTGTCCTGCGTGAGCAATGCTGGTACGCCATCAACCTGCGACGTTGACAAGCCGTCAACCTTGCCTTGCTGGAGTGCGGTCGACCAAGTCGTGCTGGAACGCGGTCGACCAAGCTGCGCTGGCAGTTGGCCGACCTGAATGCTAGCTCTGATGTAGTCTTGCATTGCCAACTTCATTGTATCATTGTTGTCATGTTTTCCTAGTGAAACTCTTGCCAATTCTCCCCGTGAACTAGCAAGAAGCGTAAACACAAGGAAATGACTAAGTGAACGAACGCAGAGATCACACGAGCACACGTGCCTAGCCCGTAGTCTAGCTCCCGTTGCAGCAGTTATCTCCGCAGTTGGTTGCCTCATGTACCTGATGACCTGCACACGACCTGACCTTGCATACCCTCTTAGCATCTTGGCACGCTATGTTGCTCCTGGGAGACACCGACCAGAGCACATGGCTGCAGCGAAGAGGGTGTTGCGCTACTTGTGCAGTACGTTGGGCATGGGGCTAGTGCTTGGAGGGCGACGTTCAGTGGTCCTCACAGGTCACGCAGACGCTTCTTGGGCTGACGACCAGGCTACGCAGCGGTCGTCACAGGGTTACACCTTCAGCCTTGGTTCCGGCTCTGTTTCGTGGCAGTCTACCCGCTCGTCTTCTGTTCTCGGCTCCAGCTGTGAGGCTGAGATCTACGCGGGGGCCATGGCTGCACAGGAGCTACGCTAGCTCACCTACCTGCTGACTAACCTAGGAGAGCCGCCTCGTTCTCCTCCAGTTCTGTACGTAGACAACAAGGCCATGCTGGCCTTGTGTCGGGAGCACAGAACGAAGCACATTGCTTTTCGCTACTTCCTTACTCGTAAGCTGCAGCAGCGTGGTCAACTGCGCCTTGCTTACGTGGCCTCTAAGGCTAACACTGCTGATATCTTTACCAAGGCACTTCTGCCTTGTGATCATCAGTGCTTCTGTACAATGCTAGATCTTGTGCCTACTTGGCCTCACTTGCTCACTTCTTGACCTTGCTTGTACTGTGATCTTTCTATACCTGCACTTGCTTGTTTACCTTTATATATATGATCTTGCATGGGAACTGGCCTTGTGGCCTTGAACTTGTGCGCGGAATGTGTGGTGACGTTGTGATCCACCCTGAGCTTGCTTTGCTTTGCTTGACTGGTCTTATGACCTCTTGTTATCCCCCACTTTGCCTATGGGGGTGTGTCAAACTCATATGCTATAGTCTGTGTAGGCTGTAGTGGGGAATACAATATGGGGTACAACACTTTTAGGTTTTCCTACTTGTACCCACCTTCTTGCTAGTTCATTCATTCCTCATTTCTTCACAGTTGGTTGTGTCACAAATTGTGAAATGCTCCCGTCACCAAAACTCACCTGCCATGCTCACACACAAGGAGAATAAGCCGCTAATAACTAGTCCAGAAAAGTAGGTAACCAACGTGCACGCGTGAGGATGCTACGCCCGCGCGACCACACTCAAAAGTCGCTCGTGAGTAATTAGGCCCTTGGGAAATTAGCCTAGGGCTCGAAACGACCAGCCAAGGCACGCAGAAGCAGCATCCCGCACAGCAACTGTCGCGCGCTCCTCTCTAGCCCCACATGTGCGCTTCGGCATTGCGCTTAGCAGAGCAACGCACGCCAGCAAAACGCACGCCGCAAGGGGGCACTTCATAAGCATAGCGCGCGAGAGATCACAGCGCGTACCCGTAACGCCCTGGTTCGCCAAGCCGAGATCGAAGCGTAATGCGTCTGAGAAGTGGCCTCGCGCCTTCTCGTGCGCCCGGCGCATTCGGGGCGTCGTATAAATCGAAAAATGCCCCTTTCCGCACTCCCCCATCCGCAATTCCTCTTCCCCATTCCCCGTTCCACATCCCCCGTTCCGCATTCCCCCTTTCGCATTTCCCCATCCGCATTCCCCGTTCCGCATCCCCCCTTCTGCATTCCCCCTACCGCATTCCCCCTTTCGCCTTCCCCTTCCACCTTCCCCCTTTCCGCGTTCCCCCTTCCGCATCCCCCCTTCCGCGTTCCCCCTTCCGCATTCCCCCTTCCGAGTTCCCCCTTCCGCATTCCCCCTTCCGCATACCCCCTTCCGCGTACCCCCTTTTGCTGGTCTGCATGCTCTTGCTGGTCCACACACCCATCACCCCTCCTATCCAATTCATTTCTGCCATGCCCACCATGTCCCCCATGCATATCGAAAGCTCAGTCGCCGTCCATCTGGGTAGGACGGAAGGGAGGAAGGGAGAGAAGGGAGGGATGTCCGAGAAGGGAGGGAAGGGAGAGAAGGGAGGGAAGGGAAGCAGGGAGAGTGAGGGAGAGAAGGGCGGGAAGGGAGAGAAGGGAGGGTTGGGAGAGAAGGGAGGGAAGGGAGAGAAGGGAGGGAAGGGGAGCAAGGAGAGCGAGGGAGAGAATGGGAAGAGTTGGAGAGTTGGGAGGGAAGGGAGAGGTGTACGGGAGGTGGGTAGAGGAGTGCGGGAGGTGGGGAGAGGAGCTCGGGAGGTGGGGAGAGGAGTGCGGGAGGTGGGGAGAGGAGCACGGGAGATGGGGAGAGGAGAACGGGAGGTGGGGAGAGGAGCACGAGAGACGAGGAAAGGAGTGCGGGAGGCGGGGAGAGGAGCACGGGAGGCGGGGACAGGAGTGCGGGAGGCGGGGAGAGGAGAACGGATGGCGCGGGGAGGAGATCGGATGGCGAGCGCGTGAGAACGGGAGGCGTGTGCCTGGATCGGGACTTGGGTAGAGGAGAACGGGATGCGGGAACGTGCGAACAGGAGTTGGGACGATTTTTTACTGATGGAGGGAGGGGGAGATAGAGAGGCGGGCAATCGAATCTGCGAAGCGGGAAGGGAAGAGGTGCATGCGGGAAAGGGGCACGCGCCAGGCGGATTTGAGAGTGTGGGAGGCGGTAATAAGATCTCGTATTGAGGCGGGATGGGAGTAGGGAAGTTCCGCTAAGCTAGAGGGAACGTGTCTCGGATCGGAAGCTTGGGTCGCGCACACAGCTGTGGCTTGTTCAGATATTGCGGAAACGGGCACGCCCTTCCAGCGTGTTGTGCGCGACAAGTACCGATTCTACAAGTGCGTATGGCTAATCGGAACTCCGCGGAGTCGCTCGTCATATTCTTAGCGGCGTAAAGAACTAGTTTGATGGGACTGCGCCAAGCCGCGTTCGGCTAAGAGGGACTGCAGCTTGGCGCGTCGGGAAAATTCCTACTGTAGGCGTGGTCTGCGTTCGAATCCTAGCATTTAGGCTCCTATCGCGCGCGCGGCGACGGCACGAGCTCTGCCGTGGTTCAGCGTCTGTGCGCAGAGATGAGGCACTAGCGGGTCAAGGCCGAGGGGAAGGCACGGCGTAGGGTTCATGGAATGGTATGCGAGATAGGCGCGGATCCTTCGCGATGGTGTCCGTCTGCTGGCGTGGCGTCTGATTTCCTAAGTAGGGCCAGGTAGGAGGGCTCCCGGGCGCCTGACGTCGACGTTCGCGCGACGCCAAGCACGCGCGACCCTTTTCGCTTGAGTGTTCACATGTGCGCTGAGGAGTGGCGAGTGGGCTACGTGGGAGTTGAATCTGGTATACTTTTGCCAAAACTATAAACTTTGGCCCCTTGGTGAGCGTTAGCGTGGGAGGGTGGGCACGTCGCGGGAATTTGAGGCTCGTGGGGGTTGTAATTTGGTTACCATGTTGGACCTTTATAAACTTTTGGCACTGGCCCTGCCAAATGTATACTGCTGCTTTAAAACCAGGGTCTCATGTAAGAGAATCTGCCTACAGCAGCAAAACATTGGTTGCGTTCTGCAGGCACGACAGAGGGGGGGAGGCGGTAAATGGGAACCTTCACCCAACTGCGTTTTTTGGATCAAAAGAACGGTCAGCCCGGAAAATGGATCCGAGCCTCCCATTTACCCTCCGAGCGTAAACGAAGGTAAATGGCAACAGAACAACCATTTACCCTCGTGGATATGAGGTCGTAGGAAGCCTGTTTCCCCTCCCCACCTTCCTTCTCTAGCAAAATTTGCCTCCTTCACCCCGCCTTTCGAAAACTGCTCTTGCCCGGGATGTGAGACGGAGGGGGGAGGGAGGCGCTGGGTTCGGGAACACCCGGGATGTGAGACGGAGGGGGGAGGGAGGCCGTGGGTTAGGGAACACCACACATGGACCCTATAAAGCAAACAATCCCTCCCTCGAGTAGCCCAAACAGGGACGCAACAAACTAAGGACGTGGGCCCAATCGACTTTGATCGGCTCGATCAGAGGCAATTAAAAACTTCGAGGAAGGCGGGAAGCAGATTTCAGGCAATCGGGGGCAATCACCTTATCGCGCCAACTCAATCAACCGCCTCAAACAGCCCGATCAGACCCGATCAGACACAATCAGCCCCAATCACTTTATTGCATGTGATTGACGACCTGGGCGATGTACGCGAAATGTTACACACCTCGCCATGAGGTGTCGAAAATCCTTGCGAATTCACCCAGATCGGCGAGAACTGTATGTGTGGCGTACACAGAGTGGTTCGAAGGTTCTGGAGTGTACCTTGTGCGATGCGGGCGATGTTGGCGACATTACCATGATACTGAGATTCGCCCTGTTGGAATAATAGGCATAGCTTAGGACTAGGTAACTAGGGTTTAGCCTAGACAAAGGAGAAGTCCAAGCAAAGGAGTGGTTGCACTATGAAAAGAGAGGTACAAATAGAAGAGAACCAGCAAGGATTGGTGCACCACCACTCATAACACTAGGTGTCTACTCTATAGCTAGTACTACATGCACTTATAGAGACATATATATAAGATATATTCTGACACACCCGTCTCGCCTAAGTTGGGATTCAACTACCAGGTAATGGGCCGACAGTGTCAGAACATATATGTAGCTTATGCTGTTGTGTAGGCTACAGTGGGGTATACCATAGGGGGTACAACCCAATTAGGGTTTTGCTATTTGTACTCACTTCACTCATAGTTCATTCATTCTCGTTCTATTCTCCACATGGTATCGAGCAGGTTCCCCCGTGGGAACTGTGCTTAGGGCCCACCACTTTTAAACTTTTTTTTCTGCCCGGAGCGCGCTCCGGGCCCTCGCTCTCACTCTTTCGGCCTGCCCTGCAGGCCCCTAGCCGCCCGCACGCCGCCTGTCCCGGCCCCTAGCCGCTCGCGCGCCGCCCGTTCAGGCCCCTAGCCGCCCGCGCGCCGCCCGTCCCGGCCCTTAGCCGCCCGCGCGCCGCCCGTCCCGGCCCCTAGCCGCTCGCGCGCCGCCCGTTCAGGCCCCTAGCCGCCCGCGCGCCGCCCGTCCCGGCCCCTAGCCGCTCGCGCGCCGCCCGTTCAGGCCCCTAGCCGCCCGCGCGCCGCCCGTCCCGGCCCCTAGCCGCTCGCGCGCTGCCCGTTCAGGCCCCTAGCCGCCCGCGCGCCGCCCGTCCCGGCCCTCAGCCGCCCGCGCGCCGCCCGTCCCGGCCCCTAGCCGCTCGCGCGCCGCCCGTTCAGGCCCCTAGCCGCCCGCGCGCCGCCCGTCCCGGCCCCTAGCCACCCGCGCGCGCCCGTCCCGGCCCCTAGCCACCCGCGCGCGCCCGTCCCGGCCCCTAGCCGCCCGCGCGCGCCCGTCCCGGCCTCACACCGCCCGTGCGCCGCCCGTCCCTGCTGCACGCCGCCGTCCTGGCCCCCCACGCCGCCCGTTAGCCGCCGTGCAGCCTGAGCCGCCCGAGCCGTCTGCGCAGCTGAGGAGCCGAGCCGCCCGAGCCGCCTGTGCCGCTGACTGCCCGAGCTGCCCGAGCCGCCTGAGCCGCCCGAGCCGCCCGAGCCGCCTCCCCCCCCCCCCCCCTTTTCCCGTCGCCCGTCGCGGCTCCTTCGGGGGCTGAGGGGTGGCGGGTGTGTGGTCTCCCCTGCTTCTCCTCCTCCTTCGTCTCGAGCCGCCCTGCAGCCGAGCCGCCTCGCCGCCGAGCCGCTTTACACCCGAGCCTCCCAGCAGCCGAGCCGCCCTGCAGCCGAGCCGCCCTACAGCCGCGCCGCCAGGTCACCGAGCTGCCGAGCAGCAGTTGCTGCCGAGCCGCCCTGCCGCCGAGCCGCCCGAGTCGCCCGAGCCGCAGAGCCGCCGTGCTGCCGAGCCTCTGAGTCGCCGAGCCTACTCTACACACCACTGGTGAGCCCCTGCCCTGCTAGCACGCTGCGCGTCGCCTGCTTGCCTGCCTGCCTCCCTTTTTGGCTTGCCTGGCTGCCTGCCTTACTGCTGCTACTCCTGCTCCTGCCTCTACTGGTGGAGCCAGATGCGGCCCCATCGACGTCTGCGTGAGTCCCTCACGCCCCAGCAGTTGCGTGAGTGGTACGCTGGTTGGGGCTGTAGGGGTGGTGGCGCTACTACTGCTACCACTCCTGCTGCTTCTACTACTGGTGGCGGCCAGATGCAGCTCCCGCGACCCCCCCGCGCGTCTCTCACGCCTCAGCAGCTTCGTGAGTGGTACGCTCAGAGTGGAGGGTCTCTCAGTTCTGTTCGCTGCTCTTACGTGATTCTCACTGGTGCTCGGACTGGTCAGCCTTGTGGGACACCTAGTCATACACAGTCCCGCTGCTTCGCCCGTCTGAGCGACGCCTGGCGTACCGTGTTTGGCGACGAGGCTGAGCTCCCCGACTGGGTGGAGTTGCTTAGGCAGAGGGTACATATATTTGCTCTTGACTATGATGCTATTCTCACTGCCATGTATGCATTGCCTACTAGTGCTGACCGTACCGGTCACCTGTGCGTACTGCCTGACCCGGGTATAGGACCTGCTGCTCTAGCTACTGGTGGGGCTGCTGCTGCTCTGGGTGCTAGTGAGTCTCCTGCTCCAGGTACAGGTGCGGCTGCTGCTCTAGGTGCTAGTGAGTCTGCTTCCTCAGGTGCGGGTGAGGCTGCGCTCTCAGGTACCACGTTGGCTTCGGCCTCCCTCACCTTTACACTTGACTCTGGGGCTTCTCGCTCCTTCTTTCGGGACCGCACCACACTCACGCCGCTTGGTCGGCCTGTTGCAGTCTCCCTGGCTGACCCCTCTGGGGGTCCTGTCCTCTCTCACTTTTCCACTGTCCTCCCGTGTCCGGCTGCCCCCTCGGGCACCCTGTCTGGCCTGTACCTCCCCTCGTTCTCGACGAACTTGGTGAGTGGTGCAGACCTGCAGGATGCGGGGGTTCACCAGTTCACTCCTGCGAGTCAGCGGGTGACCCACTGCACGGACGCACGCACAGGCCGGCACCTGGCCACGTTCTCGCGTCGGCCGGGGTCGAGCCTCTACACCCTGACCACTGAGTCTCCTCCTGTCCCTGCGTCCGGTCAGGTAGCAGCGTCAGGTCCGGTGTTTGCTGCTGCGTCCAGGTCTGGTCCTGAGTCAACCCCCTGCTCGTGTCGCCTCTTGTCTCACGAGACTCTCCTGTGGCACCACCGTCTTGGCCACCCCTCCTTGCCCCGTCTTCGGGGCATGGCTTCCCGTGTCCTTGTCTCTGGTCTTCCCCAGTCTCTCCCTCCCCTTCCTTCGGGACCAGGACCTCCCTGTGTCCCCTGTGTCGAGGGGCGCCTCAGGGCTGCTCCTCACTCCTCCCAGTTTCCCCCGACAGAGGCTCCTCTGCAGACACTTCACATGGACGTGTGGGGCCCGGCCCCCGTCCGTGGGCAGGGTCACGAGCGCTACTTCCTGTTGGTGGTTGACGACTACTCGCGTTACACCACAGTCTTCCCCTTGTGCAGCAAGGGTGCTGTCACTGAGGTGCTGATCGACTAGATCCGCGAGGCTCGTCTCCAGCTCAGGAGGAGCTTCGGCTCGGACTTTCCTGTTCTGCGTCTGCACTCTGACCGAGGTGGGGAGTTCTCCTCTCGCCTTCTGCGAGACTACTGTCGTGCACAGGGGATCCGTCAGACCTTAACGCTTCCGGACTCTCCACAGCAAAATGGGATTGCTGAGCGCCGCATTGGCATGGTCATGGATGTCGCTCGTACGTCCATGATGCATGCGGCTGCCCCCCATTTTCTGTGGCCGTTTGCGGTTCGGTACGCGGCGCATCAGCTCAACCTTCACCCCAGGGTCTCTCGGCCCGATATGTCCCCAGTGTTACTGTGGACGGGGAAGGTCGGCGATGCGTCTGCGTTCCGTGTCTGGGGATCTCGGGCGTTTGTCCGCGACTTGTCTGCGGACAAGCTGTCCCCCCGTGCTGCTCCCTGTGTCTTCCTTGGCTTCCCCCCTGACGCTCCAGGGTGGCAGTTCTACCACCCCTCCTCTCGTCGTGTTCTGTCCTCCCAGGACGTCACGTTCGACGAGTCAGTCCCCTTCTACCGCCTCTTCCCCTACCGTACTCCTTCCCTCCCCCCCCCACCGGACTTCCTGGTGCCAGTTCCCCCCCCGGTAGACCCCCTCCCCCCTCAGGTTCCTGCCCCTTCAGGTGTGTCCCAGGTAGACACAGTCGAGCCAGTCGAGGTTGCTGCTGAGTCTGGTCCTGCTGCGGGTGCAGAGTCTGGGGGTGCTACGCCTGCGGGTGCTGAGCTTGGGGGTGCTGCTGCTGGGGGTGCTGAGCCTGGGGGTGCGAGGCCGGGGGGTGCTGAGCTTGGGGTTGCTGCTGCTGGGGGTGCTGAGCCGGGAGGTGCTACGTCAGGAGCTGCTGAGCCTGGGGGTGCTGAGTCTGGAGGTGCGGAGCCTGCGACTGCTGGACCTGGGGGCTCTCCGGTTGCTCCGTCTCGGCGGGAGCCGCTCTCTCCACAGGAGCTGCGCGAGTGGTTTGCTCGCCGCTGGAGGCGTGCTGCTGGAGCTGGAGCTCCTTCGACTGCTGAGGATGCTGGTGCTGCCGGTCCCGGAGCTGCTGGGCCTGCGGGTCCTACTGGAGCTGGAGCTGCTGAGCCTGGGGGTGCTGAGTCTGGAGCTGCTGAGCCTGGGGGTGCTGAGTCTGGGGCTGCTAAGCCTGGGGGTGCTACGTTTGGAGCCGCTGAGCCTGGGGTTTCTCCTGGTGCTGCGTCTAGGCGGGAGCCCCTCTCTCCACAGGAGCTGCGCAAGTGGTTTGCTCGCCGCTGGAGGCGTACTGCTGGAGCTGGAGCTTCTTCGACCGTCGAGGGTACTGGTGCCGCCGGTCCCGGAGGTGCTACGCCTGCGGGTCCTACTGGAGCTGGGGCTGCTGAGGGCGTTGGTGCTGAGTCTGCTGCTGTCTGTCCTGACGGTGGTTCTGCTGCTGGTGCTGCTGGAGGTCCTGCCGCTGGAGGTGTAGGTGGCGCTGGTGCTGCCGCTGAGGGTGCTGGTGCTGTCCCTGCTGAGTCTGAAGCTGCCGCGCGGCCTCGGCCGTACTTTGTTCCGCTTCTGCAGCAGGTTCTTGGTCTTTCTCCTCCGGTAGAGTGTCCACAGCCTGTCCAGTTGCAGTCACTGTTGGAGCCTACCTCCCCACTGCCTGCTCCCTCTCCTTACACTGGTCCTACTGGAGGTCTTGCTGAGCGTCGTGAGCCTGCGTCTCGTCCCGCGTCGCCTGTTCGTGCTGCCCGCGCTAGTGGTCGTGGTTCGCGTCTGCGTCCTCCTCCTGTCCCTGGCACGCACCGAATCTCTCTGCGTCCGTCCACTGCTCCTCTGCGTGCCCCTTTGCCTTCTCCTCCTGAGTCCTCCCTTCCTGTGCTTACCGACCCAGAGTCGGACTCCCTTCGTGCTGCCAGTCCTACTGTCACGCGTCTGCTTGCTACTGTCGTCACTGACCCCTCTTTTGAGTCCGCTGCTGCGTCTGCTCTTGTCGCTGAGCTCGTCGACTTTGCTGCTCGCTGTCGTCTAGACTACGCTGCTAGTCTTGTTGCTGAGTCTGCGTCTGTCTGTCCTCCGTCCGTCGGGGGTGAGTGTGCTCTTGGCACGGACGTCCTAGAGGACAGGCAGGAGGAGTTCCAGTGTCTGGCTGCTGCTTCACCTCATCTCGCGTCTGTACTGCTTGCTCCTGAGGGAGACCCGGATGCACTAGACATCCCGACTCCGCGCTCTTACGCGGAGGCCGTAGAGGGTCCCTACTCCTCTCAGTGGCAGGCAGCTATGGATGCAGAGATGGCTTCCTGGAAGTCCACAGGCACCTACGTTGACGCGGTTCCCCCTCTTGGGGCGAACATCGTCAGTGGCATGTGGATCTTCAGGGTGAAGCGGCCGCCGGGCTCTCCACCTGTCTTCAAGGCGCGGTACGTCGCTCGTGGCTTCAGTCAGCGGCAGGGAGTTGACTACTTTCAGACCTTCTCTCCCACCCCGAAGATGACCACTCTTCGGGTGCTGCTGCACATAGCCGCTCAGCGCGACTACGAGCTTCACTCTCTCGACTTCAGTACTGCGTTCTTGCAGGGGAGCCTGCACGAGGAGATCTGGCTGCGCCGTCCACCTGGCTTCACTGGGACTTTCCCTCCTGGCACCCAGTGGAGCCTCCGACGGCCAGTCTACGGTCTCCGCCAGGCACCACGTGAGTGGCACGACACACTGAGGACTACACTTGCGGCCCTTGGGTTTGCTCCTTCTACTGCTGACCCGTCGCTGTTTCTGCGCACCGACACTTCACTGCCGCCGTTCTACATCCTCGTGTACGTCGACGACTTGGTCTTTGCCACAGCGGACACTGCTGGACTCGCCTACGTGAAGTCCGAACTGCTGAAGAGACATACGTGCACAGACCTGGGTGAACTGCGCAGCTACCTTGGCTTGCAGATCACTCGGGACAGAGCACGCCGCACCATTACCTTGACTCAGTCACACATGGTGCAGCAGGTCCTTCAGCGCTTCGGCTTCACGTACTCCTCGCCTCAGGCCACTCCTCTGTCTACTCGCCACTCGCTCTCAGCTCTGCCTTCGGATGAGTCCGTAGAGTCGAGTGGCCCGTACCCAGAGCTTGTTGGCTGCCTCATGTACCTGATGACCTGCACACGACCTGACCTTGCATACCCTCTTAGCATTCTTGCACGCTATGTTGCTCCTGGGAGACACCGACCAGAGCACATGGCTGCAGCGAAGAGGGTATTGCGCTACCTGTGCAGTACGTCGGGCATGGGGCTAGTGCTTGGAGGGCGGAGTCCAGTGGTACTTACAGGTCACGCGGACGCTTCTTGGGCTGACGACCAGGCTACGCAGCGGTCGTCACAGGGTTACACCTTCAGCCTTGGCTCCGACTCTGTCTCGTGGCGGGCTACTCGCTCGTCTTCGGTTCTCAGCTCGAGTTGTGAGGCTGAGATCTACGCAGGGGCCATGGCTGCACAGGAGCTTCGCTGGCTTACCTACCTGCTGACTGACCTTGGAGAGCCGCCTCGTTCTCCTCCAGTGCTGTACGTAGACAACAAGGCCATGCTGGCCTTGTGTCGAGAGCAGCGTCTGGAGCACAGAACGAAGCACATTGCTCTTCGCTACTTCCTTGCTCGTGAGCTACAGGAGCGTGGACAGTTGCGGCTTGCGTACGTGGCCTCTGAGGCCAACACTGCTGATGTGTTCACCAAGGCACTCGCGCCTTGTGACCATCAGCGCTTCTGCACCCAGCTGGGTCTTGTGCCTGTCTTGCCTCACTTGCTCTCCTCTTGACTTTACTTGTACTGTCACATATATATACCTGCTCTTGCTTGTCTAGCTTTATATATATATGTGTGTACTCCTGCATGTGAACTGGCCTTGTGGCCTTGCTCTTGTGCTCGGACTGTGTGGTGACTTTGTGATCCACCCTGAGCTTTGCTTTGCTTTGCTTGACTGGTCTTGTGACCCCTTGTTCTCCCCCACTTTGCCTATGGGGGTGTGTCAGAACATATATGTAGCTTATGCTGTTGTGTAGGCTACAGTGGGGTATACCATAGGGGGTACAACCCAATTAGGGTTTTGCTATTTGTACTCACTTCACTCATAGTTCATTCATTCTCGTTCTATTCTCCACAGACAGTTCTCACGCAAGAGCGAGAAACATTCTAGGAAAAATCATCTCTGATCGGGCGGCGCGAGGAAAACGATCACAAGCAATCCGATCCGACCCAACACGATCCGATCAGAGCCGATCAAAGTCGATTGGGCTCACGTTTTGCAGGTGGGTGTGCTTGGGGGCGCTCTTTTTCCACGTGGTTACCCCTCTCTAAACTGCAACCCTTTTTCTGATGTCGCGCAGCTTTATCTACCCATGTTCTGTGCAGTGGAAATTGTGGCTGTTTTTTCGTCATTTACCTTCTGAACCGATGCACTGAGCAACCTAAATTTCCCACTTTCGGCTGTAGCGGGAGGGGGGGGGGGGGATTCGAAGGGGAAACTGCTTCGGAACCCTCGTCATTTCCCCTCGCCCCCCACCTCCCTTCTAAGGGAAATGCCTCAGAACGCAACCATTTGAAGCTCGGTCACCCTGTTTGAGTAGGCGAAGTTTAGTGGTAGGTCTGGCAATTCATTGTGCGACACATTCACGATTTTGCCCCCGACTCAATTGCAAAACAAATTGCTAGGTACATGAGACTTTCGGGAACCTCGTATATTTGGCTGGTGATTTTGCTTCGGCATCGAGCCCAAATCCGAACCTAGAAGGTTTGGTTGCACCCTGCGATTTGAGTTTTCCTTCGCGCCCCTCACAACACCCCTCGTCAAACTTTACACCTCGCCAACCAATCCTAGTCAAGGTCCATTCATGAACTGCAAAACGAATGAACTACATGAACAGTTCATACAGCATTCTCTCCCCCCTTTGGGTTTTGAGTTGAAAGCGCAATGTTACTGTAACTATTCGTTCCGAACGCATATTTGTCGCGTCTGGCGCAGTGTTTTGGGCTGTTTGTCGATTCTGACGCAGAGTTAGTAAGTTTTCTACGCAGTCTGTCGCTCATTGGTACACCTGTTAAAATTCCATTCGCTGAACACTGTTTTAGCCTGTCTAGGTAAACAGTCACCTCGATGTGGCTGGCTCGGCATGTCATTGTTACCGAATCTAGGTGACTGTTTCTCGCGCCCAAAACTAGGCATCACGTCCGTTTCGAGCCTGGAAATTGAGACGACTTCCGTCAGGATAGTCGTTCTCGCTAATAGGTGTTGCCAAATGCTGCTACGACCCATGTACTAAACTACGCGGGGATGTTCAAGATAAAAATATATATAACAAATCTGATGCTCATGTATGGGGTTCAGAATGAATGCATACAGGTTTATGGTATGGATTGTTCCTGCGACTTCTCCAACGGTTATAGCTTTACAAACCTAACCTTATAGTAGCCAAAATTGATTTATTTCCAACTCTCTATCTCTCTATGTATATTTATACATCCACAAATTCTCAATTTGCATCCACCCCCAATCTCTCCATTTGTCTCTAAAGGCTGACCGTTTCAGGTCCGGGAAGCAATCGGTCAGGGGTCAAGAGAACTGCCAAAAACGGTTTGATTCGTTTTGGTACGGGCGGGCGGGGTGGTGGTGGCTGTGACGTGCTATGCGGTTCTGTTTTCACAGTGAATTATTTCGTGAGGTGGAGGGCATTGACAGGATTCTGCACAGATTGTTTGAGGGCTTCGGAGATGTTTGGACGGGCAAGGGCAGTGGGCACGTCGAAAATGCTGGAAAGATAACTACCCCGAGATGGCTAATTAGGGTGCATTCTTGGCCCATGTCGGTCTTGCTGACACAAGGTATCAACGATCACGATCATTTCACGTTGTCGCAAATTTTCAAATCCAAGCCGTCGGCTTCATGTCAGATAACTAGTCACAGACCAAGAGAACCGACCAAGTAGGACCAGCCGAATTCCGACCAAACGCGTCATATATTGTACTTGTAATACATTGTTTTTACAGGGTATTAAAAAATATTGCCGTCACCAAATGAGGGTCACTTTCTTGTGCTCCCGTCATGATTTTGGGGTGGCGTCTGTTGTCCAGAGAGCACACGCTTCTTCACGAATGATGGTGTTGTTTCAGGGGGTTCCTTCATGTTACCCATCTTGCGGGCGGATCATCTGGACAAATATCGCTACACCTGGTGCTTCTTTCAATTCTACTTTCAACTGCACATTCCTCATCATTCAGGAAATGGTAATGTTAGGGCAGAATTAGCGCTCGAAGCAGTACTGTGGTTACCACCGCACCTCCATTCTCTTCCTTAGCAGAAAATTGTGTTTTTCAAGGGAAACAGGGTTAACTTTTTTCTTCGTCAATAATATCGGTATTCTGCTGTCGGGTTTTTAACGATAATGAAAGTATAAAAGAGAAGGCAAGCATGTACTAGCAAAACAATCGTAACTGTCTTTGAAGAGACAGAAACGAATTCCCTGTTCTATATAAGAAATTGAGGGCTTAGTGGGTCGTGCCCTCCGATAGGACCAGATTGCTGCAAAACCACACGTCCATTTCCAACTGTTGCCATCCATTTTGATCATCTGCAGCGTGTTGCGCTCTTCTCGAACTCTCCGTTGTTTTCGCTTTCGCCATATCGCAAATATTTACGGGTGCCCAACTTGGCGTGCTGCCAAAGTGCGAACTCTATCTTCCTGAGAACCTGTTGCGTCCAAAATCTGCTACCCCGAAGCACAGCTTCTCATTGCTCGAGCCACCAAGTGGAATGTGACTGTCGGGTTTAAACTGTGTGCCGTGTTCATGGTTTTTTTTTTTTTTTTTATGCAAGGATACACTATAAGTGCAACAATACATCGGCAGTCGTAACTGGAGCTGATGGGCCTAGGGGGGTCGCTCCCTCCGTACCCATCCTGATCCTCTAAGGGGGACGGAAAGCAGCCCTCGGGTTCGACCAGATGGCCATGAAGCCCTTGGACCACGTGGCTGGTTGAGCTGAGTTGTCCATGATACGGCCCAAAACCCGGCACTCGTCATCATCCAGACCAGGACGAATGGCACCGAGCCTCTTAGACACTGCCTTAGCACGCTTGTAGATCCTGACATGCAGCTGAAAGGACGCCGCAATCCTCCGCAGAGCCCTCCTCGCCCGGAATCTGCTGCGCTCGAAAACTGCGTCACACGTTTCAACCCAAATTCGGTGGAACACGATTGCTGTGATCGTAGCCTCGGGGAATCCCGTGCCAGAATATTATCTTATTGTTCTAGCCTGTAGTGGGGTGCTCTATAGCGAGTACAACCGTTCTAGGGTTTGCTATTTGTATCCTCATTCTTGCTAGTTCAATCCTCTTTCTTTCTTCTAATTTTGACATCCCGAAGCTGTCCCCTCCTTCCTGAAGACCACGTCACCCAGAGATTCAATTTTCCGATGCGGATTTAACATACGGAGCGCCTTCAACAGTGCCCGAACCACCGGCTGAATGCGCGAGCAGAGAAACAGTCCATGTTCCAGCGTCTCTTTCTCCCCGCAGTGGGGGCAGGCGACCCCAGCGCCCAGAAAATGTAACCGTTCCCCCACCTGCAGGTTCCGGCTGTGGATCCGGAGCATCACGTCACGTGCACGATTCGGAAGAGCAGGCGAGTCCCTTACCCCGATCACCCTCCCCCAGTCAATCGGACGGCCGAGGGATTCCTCCCACGTGCTCTGCTGCTTTGGTTTTCCGCCAAACCGCCTGAAACCCTCCTTGAGTTGCTTCAGCTGCGCTGGCCGATCCCCCTCCCAGATGGGGGAGCACAACAATCTTGCCCTGGGACCACCCGCAGGACCAAGCAGCCGCCCCTCCCTGACCACAGCAGGCACCACCTCATGCGGCAGAAAGTTGTGCGTCCTCTCCTCTGCTTCCTCCAAAACCCCCTGGAAGCATCCGATGGCACGGCAGATGAGGGTTTCGCCCTCTACACACTCAATCCTCCAGACACCGTAACTCGTCCCCGCCTTGAGCACGAACTTAGAAACAGTGAGCACCATGCACGCCGTGACAGGCGCCATAAGCATCTGCTTCCACTCGTTTGGAGCCGCATCAAAAATCCTCATCGCCAGCTTCGCTCCATCTGACCCACCGAAAGCCCGCTCGAGCTCCTGAGGGCTTTTCAGAGCCCTCGAGCCATCCACGGCGATTTTGATGAAGTCGCCTTTCACCGAGCGCTTCAGCGGCTTAGCCGCCTTCTGCCGACCCGCGGGGGACTTCCCATTCAAAAGCAGACAGCGATTAAACAGTAGCATCTCTTGCTCCACCTCCCACACCGACGAGGCCTTGATGCAAGAAGGAAAACTGGACTCCAGGAATAATTCACACGTCCGCTTCCACCTCTCACACCGACCTGCCCACTGCTTCATCAGCCCCGCGTGAGCCCAAAAAACCTGCAGGTCCGGAACATCCAGAGCCGTGAGCGCGAGGTCGGCAAGCAGACCCTGTGGTTGTGATGCCAGTAGCGCTATCCTCCTGGCCGCCAGGCCACCCAGTTCAGCACACGGGTCCCGGACACCGAGCCCGCCTTCCCCTCTCGCTTTGAACAGCAACTCCTGGCTCCAGAGAGCAAAATGCTTCCCTGCCGTTGAATGGTTGCCCGTGACGAAATTATGCAGCAACTTCACCAGCTTCGCCCAGATTTCCGCAGGAGGAGGGTAAACCTGCGCCTGAAAGGCGAGGATTGGATTAATGTACCCGTTAACCACCGCGACCCTGCCGGACGTCGTCAGGTAATGTATTTGCCATTTCACCAGCTCCGCCGCTGCCCGTGACAGAGTAATTTCCCAGGTCACCGACGCGTCACCCAAGGGTGAGATCCACACCCCTATAACCCTTTCCGCTTCGTTTGATCGCACCCATTTGAAACCTGATGACCTGTCCGGTTTCTTGAGCAGGTTCTTCCCCAGGGGAAGGAGAGCAGACTTGTCGATATTCACGCGAAGCCCCGACTTATCACCAAACTCATCCAGCACCTTCACCGCCCGGCCAATCTGCCTTTTCCCTTGGAGCACCAACGTGGTGTCATCGGCATACCCAAGGTACGCAAGGCGATCACCGAACGGATTACTTATACCCAACTTCCTCCTTATTGCTTCCTGGCAGAGAGGCTCCACCGCGCAGAGGAAAAGGTAGGGCGCCAGCGGACAGCCCTGCCGCACCCCCTTCTTGACCGCCACCGGCTCCCCCAGCCAGCCGTTCAGCAGCAGTCTCGTCGTCGATCCTGCATGGAGACCCTCGCACCACCTCACGAACTTCCGCGGGAAACCCATCCTCTTTATCGTGCCGAAGAGGTATTCACGAGAAACTGAATCGAAGGCCTTCTGGAAATCTACCAGAAGCAAATACCAATCCGCGTTTTTGCACTTCGCCGCATCGACGATGTCCGCGATCAGTGAGACACCGTCCGCCAGCCTTCTTCCCGGTAAGAACCCGTATTGCTCCTCTGAAATGACCTTGTGCAGCACTTTCCGCATCCTGTTTGCCAATACTCGCGCTACCAGCTTGTACGTGCTGTTGAGCAGCGTGATCGGCCGGTAGTTCTGCACCTGGTCCTTCGCGCCTTTCTTGTGCAGCAGGACAGTGACCGCCTCCAAAGCCGCGGGAGGAAGAACGGTCGTTTCCTCGAAGCGCTTCGCGAAACCGAGCACATCACCCCCCAGCGAGTCCCAATGCTGACTGAAGAACTCCTTCGGGATTCCGTCAGCACCGGGGGACTTGCCTTTCGCCATACCGTCAAGAGCCTCCTTCACCTCCGCTTCTGACCAGTCTTCCACCAGCAGCTGCGATTGCTCTTCACCCAACTTCCTGTCCGGGGCAACCGTCCAGAAGGTACTGTCCGTGGTTGAGGTAGGCTCTGAGAACAGCTCCGTGTAAAACTCTGAGGCAGCTTCCAGTATCCCTCTTGAGTCCTTACGCACCGTTCCCTTCCATTACAACGATGTAATCATGGTCCTCTCCTTCCGTGTTTTAACCTTTGTAGACATGAGCTTGCCAGGCAACTCTCCCTCCCGCAGCTCCTTAACCCCCGCCATGAGAGAGACCCTCTCCTCCTTGGAGGCAAGATACGCCGCTAACTGAGACTCCTTGACCTTCAACTCCTCCTTCCGGACGGAGCAAGAAGGGTGCCTCATCACCTCCTGCTGTAACCTCGCCACCGCAGCGTCCAGGTGAGCAAGGGTAGCCTTGACCCGTTTCCGCTCCTCGGTAGAGTACTTCCTTAACGCCATGTTCATTTCCCTCATGAGCGCAGTGAAGTCTCCCGACCCCGTTTTCCCATGCTTCTCTCGAACCTCCGCAACCGCTTTCGCTGCACCTGGTCTACCAATCTCCACCGCCTTGCACCTCCATATTCCAGGCCCCATACATAGCCGCAGGCTGATCTTGAATGTCACCTTCACACCAAACCAGTGATCAGAGAGGCCCTTCAGCGGCCGGCAGTGCGACGCACCGGAAAGTGACGGCAGCAGAGACGCTGAGACGAGAGCTCGATCAATGCGTGAGCTGGTCTTAGCAGATTTGGACAGAAACGTGAACTCCTTCAGCACCGGATTCATCCAGCGAAAAGCGTCGGTAAGACAGTGCGCTGAACAGATCCGCAACACACTGTTATTTTCCCCGGACGATCCCGCTCCCGACGATCTGTCCAGGATTGGATCCTCCACCATGTTGAGGTCCCCGACCAAAACAAAATTTTTCTTCCCCACCGAGTGCGCCATAAACGGGGTCAGCACTCCGCCATAGAAAGACCGACGCCTGCAGGCCTTCGCCGGGAAGTAAGCGGCCAGGATTGAGCAACAGGAGGAGTCCCACTGGACATTGGCCTGAAGCAGCCGGCCTGAACCATGCGCGACAATGTTAGTGAAACTGAGAGACTTGTTAAAACTCAAAATAGCTACTCCCCCTGCCTTCCCCGCAGGACCAACGGCGTGACAGTGAGGAGCCTTAAGCTTCTTCCAGAAGTCATGATCTGCACCAATGCGTGTGTCGATTAAAACGAAGATGTCGGGTGGCTTCTTTAACCACGCCTTCAGGTGTTTTTGTTTCCCCCTGCTCCCGAGCCCGTTGACGTTGAGCTCGCGTATTGACAGGTAAGAAGCCTTATTCATTGGGAAACCGCTGAGAAGCCCCAAGCATCCACGGGCTGAGTGAGACACAGGCAACAGGCTCATATAAGGCAAGTACAAACTCGAGTGACCCTATCATACAGACACCTTCCCTCCATAGCCCCTCTACACCCCATAATCCTTCTTCAGATGCTTGAGATTGATCTTCCCCTTCAGCAAACGGAGCGACTCCCCTCCTTTCGGGGCCCCATGACGGTGCCGCTGGGACAACGCGTGATGAGCAGCCTGCCCGAACGACGAACCATGAGCTTTGTCGCAGCTGTCCTGAAGGCAGACCCACTCCTCCCGATTGCCGCTGGTGGAGATCAGCACCAGGGACGGGTCCTTGAGAATAATCTTGGTTGTATCTGATGCAGTGGTCGCGGCAGCTGCGGAGCAACGATGTGAGTACTCGGGGGGAAACGTAAAGGGAAAACGACAGCGAGAAGGTAGGAACTCCAGCATCAACAGCGCGAGCGGCACGACTACCATTCAGCTCATGGACCCTCCCAACGGTAAGGTGCCATTTGGTGATGTTGTTCTGGCGCTCGACGACGAAATCGTTGTGGTTGTGAATCGAATGGTGACCTCCGCACAGGCTGCACTTCAAAGACGGGTAATGAATCAGCAGAATCTCCTCCTTGTTAAGCGGGTTTTCGATGAAGTGTTTCCAGCGGTACAAATCCCCCTCGTGTGCAATCACCAGCCCTTTGACCCGATCCATGTCCAGGCCGGTTACCGAGTTGACCGCGCGATGAAAGCACAGTCCCTCCTTGAACACCGACTTCTTCTTCTTCTTGAGCGGAGCCATCAGCATTTCATGCAGCATGGCAGGTGAAATCTCGGCGGGGACGTCCTTGAAATATAACTCAATCACCGCCGGATTCGTCGCCTTCTGTCTGGCGAAAGCGGGATCCTCCGGGTATTGCCAGTCAAAGGTAACGTAAGTACCATTCTTGCACTTATGCTCCACCTGATTACGCCACACAAAGTTATGATATTCGATCAATTTATAGTAGGTGATTAGGCGAGCCTTAGGGTGTATTTCTGTGTCAGGCAAGGCTGGCTGTTCTCGGCGGCTGAACTGGGGTTGAGTAGTTTGTTCTGTAGCATATTTCGCATCTCGACGATGGAAGAATTTCGTCACCCTAATCACCCTACCAAACAAAATATTCCTACCAAAACTTGGTGGCCCACTGGCAGAACCCTGAACAGAAAAAGTGGCCCAAAATGAAAGCAGAGGCCTCAGTAGCAGCCGCAGACAGAACCCGTTCTTTCCCAACCAGGCAGCATTTGCACAAATTAGGGCAAGGCTGTGTAGTGTAGATCGTAAGTCCTGACGTGAGATGTGGCTCTAGCGAGATGGCAATGCTCATGTGGTCGTCGTCTGTGTAACGTGAACTTGGTTTTCTTTTCATCGTCGCCCACTAGAAAGCACGAGTCTTAGCAAAGACCTAGAAATCGAGCCGAAGGTCTGCTGCAGAGATTCTCAGGAATGCGAGAATTGGGCATAAGAGTAGCACAACCGTCACAAGGAGAAAGAGCGGGGGGGTTTGTGGATTAATACAAGGTGCCGAGCCACATGGACGAGAATGTGAAAGGGTTAATGACGCTGGATCCGGTTTCGGTAGGTGTAAACGTAGAACACGAAAGCGGAACGACCCGAAGCGAAACGAACAACGACGGTGACGAAACGACAGTAAAAGGAGGCGCGCATAACTCCGCGGTGAAAACGGATAACACAGGGGCGGAACGGGTCGACGGGGTGAGTCGGGAAGGCGAGGCGCGCGACGACGACGGGCGCGCGGGATTTGGGAGCGAGGGATTTGCGGCAATGGCGAGGGGAGATGATCTAACAGCCGGCGTAGGTGCCGAACTGTTAGCATCAGCCGCTTCGCAGGCACCCGTGACTGATAGTGCAGCGGGGAACGGGACGATAGAAGCTCCCGAGTCCGCTGCAACAGCCCCTCCTGTTGTCGAAACGACGCCAATAGCGCGTACGTCGTCTCCAGCAACTCTGTCAGCATCGAAAAAAGAGTCGGCTGCAACTGCTAATTCGTCGTCGTCCTTCTCCTCCTCCGCCGCCGCCGCCGCCGCCGTCACTGCTGCTGCTGCGCCATCAAACCCCTTTCTAACAGCATCACCTTCTCCATCGTCCCCGTCATCATCCACGTCAGCGTCCGCCTCACCTTCCCCCTCCCCTTCCCATTCCCCCATACCTTCGCCGTCCGCCCGCGCCGCCGCATGGATGCCCCGCTCCGCTTCCGCGGCGCCCATCGTCCACTCCACCCCGCCGCTTCCGCGCCCTCCCCCGCCCCACCCGCTTCAGCGGGAAGCTTTCGCGGAGCACCTGGTGGAGGATCCCGAGTCGCCCCCGCCGCCTCCGCCGCTTTACCCCTTTGGCGCGGCGCAAGCGCCGGGCGTGCTGACTTTCGTGTGCGAAACGCCACGTGGCTTTGCGGGGAGACAGGAGGTGAAGGGATGGGACGCGCAGGGGAACGTGCAGCTGGGGCGGTATATGTACTTCCCCAAAGAAACTCCGTGGCATTATGGGTATTTACCCCAAACCTGGTGCGCGCACGACCGAGGAGCTGCGCCCCACAGACGCAGCGGCGGGGGGGTGGGTGGGGGGAGCTACGGCGGAAGTTTCGGCGGAAGCGGAGACATTGGTTTAAGCGCTGGTGTGCTGTGGGGTGGGGCAGATCGGATGGCGGAAGGGGAGGGGTACGGTGGGGCCGGCGGCAGCGGCGGTGGAGGAGAGGTGGAGCGAGTCGCAATGATGCGACGGGGGTATAGCGTTGATGGTACTAATTATTCTCTCTCAGACGCACAGTCAGGCGAGCCGATACCGAGTCGCGGGAAAATCCCGAACCAGAACCAGAGAGAGAACCAGTATCAGCTTCAGCTGCAGCTGCAGCTTCAGCAATTCGGGGGGGTCCCTTCCCCGCGTTACCATCACCTGTCGCAGTCCCCGTCGCAGTCGCAGCACCTGTCGCAATCGCAGTCGCAGCAGTCGCTGCCGCAGTCGCAGTCGCAATCGTCATCGCAGCAGTCGCATCAGTCATCATCGCAGGGCCCCGTGTCGCCGCTCGCCGTCGGCTGCCCGTTGGAAGTTCTAGATATCGGCTCCGCGAAACGCAAAGTCGGGGAATCGTACCCGGTGCGCGTGCTCGCAGCGATTTGCGTGATGGAAGGGACACGTCAGCCGAAACCGTCGTGGAAGATCGTGACGATCGCGGCCACGGATCCGATGGCTGATCTGATGACACGTGTCTCGGAAGTGAGCAAAGGCGGCGGGACGTTAGGGGATGTGCTGAGGGACGTGCATCGGGATCTGAAGGCTCTCGTGAACGCGAAAGCAGGTGCGTTATAACGGGGATGAATGGATGAAGTTGATGAGGTTCGAACGTTAGAACGAAAAAAATGGGATACGAATTCGGTATCGCTTGATTCGGGGCTGGGAAAACAAAAAATAAAAAAGCAGAAGCGTAGTGAAAGAAGCATTTTTCCCTCGCCTCTTTTCCCCCCTCCGTGAGAGAATGGGGGCCTTGGGTAGATGTTAGGGGGACAAGGGCCGGAAAAGAGGGAACTTGCGAATGGTATATCTCAGCGGACAAGCGAGTCCGCCCGGCGGACCTCGCTGCCCGCGGGCACAAAAAATAAAACCCATTCGGGCATGCATCCGGTCAGGGAGGCATCAACCCTAAACGCCTGGAGTCATGGTGTTTAGGGTTGATGCCTCCCTCGGATGTCATGCCATCCGATAGGGTTTTAGTTGTTTTCTGCCCGGGGCAACAGGTCGTCAGAGGGTCGACGGAGCTGACGACCCATTTCCGCTGGGATATTCCATATGGTTACATGGTCTAGCTCGTCCTTATTGTTACCTGCATTATTGTTGGATCAGTATAAAAAAAGATACGAACAGGACAGGACATAGAGTACACTAAGTTGCCGTGGGAGGAGAATGGTGTAGCAGCCACTCTTCGTACTCTCATTCACACGTAAATCACGCAGAATCAACGAATGAATCAGTTCTATCTTCCATCCAGGTGAAAAAAAAAAACAAGAAAACAAACAAACAAACTCCTTTCGATCTTCCCCTTCCCCATCCTCTTCGTCCCCCCTCCCCACCTCCCCCTTTCCCCCCTCTCTCTCCTTATCCCCCCGCGTTCCGTCTTTGAGTCGACTCACAAATACAACTCTCCTCCCCCCCCCCTCTCTCCCGCTATCCCCCGCGTTCTGTTGTTTGTCTACTCGAAAATACACCTCCCCGTTCCCCCCCTCTCTCCCCCTATCCCCCACGTTCTGTCTTTGAGTCGACTCAACAATACACCTCCCCTTTCCCCCCCTCTCTCCCCCTATCCCCCCGCGTTGACTTTGAATCGATTTAAAAAGACACCTCCTCTTTCCCCCTCTCTCCCCCTCTCTCCCCCTATCCCCCCGCGTTTTCTTTGAGTCAATAATTCACCACCTCTTTCCCCCTCTCTCACTCCCTGTCCCCCCCGCATTCTGTCTTTGAGTATACTAAAGATTACACCTCCTCTTTCCCCCCCCCTCTCCCCATTTCCCCTCGCGTTGCCTTTGAGTCGACTAACTCATACACCTCCTCTTTCCCCTCTCTCACCCCATATCTCCCCTCGTTCTGTCACATCCCCACAGACCTCCCGCGCTCACAGGAGCAAGCCATGGGGGTGGACGGAGCAACGAGTATAGTATCCCAAGCGCATGCCAAATGGACTGATTTCCTAGCCACACGCGAGCGCCTGCTGCAACACCAGTACTCCCTCTCTCTCTCCTCCCCTTCCGCCTCCGCGCCAAACCTCTCCCCCTCCGCGCTCCCCTCCCCGTCCGCCTCCTCCACTAGCTCTTACTCCGCCTTCTCCTCCTTCCGCTCCTCCTCTCTCTCGCTCCGCTCTCCCGCGTCTGTTCTGTTTCCGAGAAGCCAATCGGTAGTGACTGGGGGGGTGCCGACTGTAGGGGAAGGAGAAGAAGGGGAGAGGGGTAGTGCATATGGCACAGGAATTGGGGGAGGATCCAGGGAGCAACAGAGCAAGCGCAGGCAGCAACAGCATCGGTTAATTGCTAGTGCGAGCACCAGCAGCAGCAGTGGCAGTGGCAGTGGTGGCAGCAGCAGTGGCAGTGCTGGGAGTCGCCTGGCTGAAGACTTGGCGTTTTCGGGACTAGATGCTGCTGCTGCTGCCGCTGCTGCTGCTGGTGCTGCCGGTGGTGGCAGCGGCAGTGGTGCCGGCCGTGATATGGCCAGTACTGGCCGCAGCATATCACAAGGAGCAGGAACAGGAGCAGGAACAGGAGCAGGAGCAGGAGCAGGAGCAACGGGATCAGGATCAGGGACAGGGACGGGTTACGGAGTGGAATCAGCACAGCCAGAAGACATTCTTGATGCCTTGCCGCCCGGCATGCGCTTTGCTGCTCTCAGGAGCTTTAGTGGCCCGCTCGTTCCTCATGCAAAGAAACGCAGCAGCCAGCGCGGAGCAGCAGCAGCGGCAGCTGTAGGGCTTGACGAAGCTTCTTCCTCCCTTGGTGCCACTGCTGCTGCAAGCAGCAAAAGCGGCAGCGACAGCGGCAGTGGTAGTGGCAGCGGGAGTGGTGCGAGCAGGGGTAGCAGCTCAAGATCGGGAGGAAGGGTCATGGAGGAGGGTCATGGGAGATCGTGCAGTGTTGATGCCAGTGGTAGCTTTGCTGGCGGTACTGGTGGTACTGCTGACTGTGCTAGGACGCAGGGTGATTCTATCTCCAGCACTGCTTTGAGGGAAGGTTCTAGGGATGCTTGTAAGGATGATTTGTCAGAGGCAGCTGAATCTCACAGTTCTATCCGTCATTCTGGTAACGGTGTGAGCAGCAGCAGAAGCAGCAGCAGCGGCGGCAGTGGCAGCAGTAAGCATCACCACAGCCGTAGCCAGGACAGTAACAGCAGCAGCAACAACAACAGCAGCGGCAGCGGAAGCGGAAGCGGCAACCAGGGAAGCAGCCAGGGCAGCAGCAGCAGCAGCAAGAGCTCTCACGGTCTCACTTTCCGCATGCGTGCAGCATCTAAGATGCAAGTGGCTATTTCCTTCCGCTCCCTCCGCTCTCTCTCCCGCCTCACCCTCTCCCCGCGGGGAACCACTGCTGCTCCGCCCCCGCCTTCTGTTCGGCCTTCCCCCACTTCTTTCACTGCACCCATTGCTGCTGCTTCTGCTGCTTCTGCTGCTGGTGGTGCTGCTAGTGGCGCTGCTGGAAGTGCTGGTGCTGCGTCCTCTCCTCCCCCTCTCCCTCCTCTCTTCCCTCATTCCCCAGCCTCTGGAGAAGGCCGGCGGGGAGGAGGAACAGGAGGAGCAGGAGGAGCAGTAGGAGCAGGAGCAGGAGCAGGGACAGGAACAGAGGCACTTGCAGCAGCGGGGGAGAAATCCTCTCTCTCCTCACCTGCCGCCACTTCCTCAATCACTCCCCGCTCATCCCATCCCGACGGGTACCTCCCATCGCCCACCACCCCATCCTCCTTCTCCTGCCCTGCCTCCTCGCCTCGCTCCCTCCCTGCGACTTCCCCCATGTCTTGCCGGCGTCGCCACGCGCGCTGGCCCAAGCACTGGGACTCACCTGATGTAGAGAACGTATATAGAGGCGTCTCTGCTTCTTCTCGCTCCACGACCTTGCATTCGGCAGCAGCAGGAGGAGGAGGAGGAGGAGGAGGAGCAGCAGCAGCTGCTTCTGCTGCTGGTACCGCTGCCGCTGGTACCACTGGTGCAGCTGGTGCTGCTGCTGGAGTGGCAGTTGGGTTGTCTCCTAGAGGCTACCCGGCTCCTCTGGGGAGTGGAGCAAGGCTGAGGGGAAGCATTGGGGGAGTAGGAGGGGGAGGTACTCTCAACTCTGGTCTGCATGCGCACTCAGGACAACCGATGCCGTCCGCGTTGTCCCCTTCTGGTGTTGCAGGGAGCGGGATGAGAGCGACCGGAGAAAAGCTTGATTCTCCCCAAGCCATGTCTCCGCTGGGGTTTTCATTTAGCAGTGTCCCGGGTGCTTCTCGCAGTTTGGAAGGCAAGGCAAGTGCTTTCACAACTTCCCATGCAGCAGCAGCAGCAACAGTGCCAGCAGCAGCTGCTCCAGCCAATGGAAAGAGCAGCAGCTCTCCAATCGCTATTGGGGCAGCAGCACCAGCAGCTGCATTGGCGCCAATTCAAACAGCAGCAGGCATGGTGGGGAGAGTGGGAGGCAGGGCAGGTTTGCCTCCTGCTCCAACCTCTCCCCTTGCCCTCCACCGCCCCCCTGCTCTCACCATACAACCCGGTGGGGAGGTGTGACGCAGAGCTCTGAAGCGGTGGAGTGTGGTGCAGAACTGACTTGCAGCGAACTGAAGCGGCCATGCAGGTCTTATCCGAGGCAAGACTTGAAACACCATACAAGTCATGGATTGAGGCACAATGCAGTACCAACAGAAGGGCTATGAAGGAGGCTTTGTACAAGGCCTCTTGACCGGACAAACACCCGAGCTGGCTTGTCCCTGTGCTAAGCTTCTTCCTTCCCTTCCTGTCCCCCTCTCTCTTGTTGCCCTTTTTTGCCTTCCATCTTTTGTGCTCTTTGCTTGCCTCCCGTCTCTCCACTCCACACGCATCGCTTTCCGTGCTGCCTTCTTTTCCCGGGTCATACGGTATCATGCTTCTTTACTTTTATCAGTAATGGTAGCACACAAACCATTAGGCTCCAGGACCTTAAGAAATATTTGTGTTAGCTAGAGCCTTGTCCCTGTCTCCCTCTTCCACTGCTGGCATTTGATAGTATGTGCTGTACATGAGTTGTGTTCGTACCACTGAGGTACGGTACTGATACTCCACTGATTTAATTACTTTGCTCCCTTCCTGTTACCGCAGTTGTGCACTTCAATACGAGTCCTACCAATAAACGAAGCATGTAGAGGAAACTAGAAACCCGGTAATAGTGCAGTTCTGCTGTTACCGGTACGTTGGGCAGTCCTCAAGACTTCAAATGAAGAAGGTTGAGGTACTATGGTGAAGCAGAGGCAGATGTGACAGTCAGGCATTGTGCACAAGGTTCACCTCAACAAGGGATGCACAGGTCACAGATGAAAATTGCATGCGACAACCATTCGGAAAAAAATACATGGCGAATGAGTGTATCCAGCACAAGATTATGAGAAACAATCAAGTTGCTCTATACAGCACGTTCACTTGAGCTTTCCCCGGAGCTTCACCCCCAAAACTCTTTCCATCTTCCCCAAAATCTGTGGGTTAGGTATGGCCTTTCCGGACTCGTACTCTTGGACAACTTGAGGTTTCTGCGAGTAACAAGACACACAGGTGCTTATGAGTCGAACGAACGCGTGAGTAAAAAAAACTTGATCGAAAGCCATACAGAACGTCAATTAAGCTCAAAGAAATCACGGAAATATAAACCAGCAGATCTCGCAATTCACTTGTCAACAAGTTCGATGTTAAGAAACATCACCACTTTCGGTTACTGATTTTCTTTTGTTCTTTTCAAAGTCAACCAAGACCGTACCTCGTTAATCTTCTGCGCCAGCTGGGCTTGCGTGAGCTTGGCGTCCAGCCTAGCCTTTTGAATCGCCGTCTTTACGTCTGACGACACCTTCTCATGCGCCAACACGTCCGTCTCCTCCGCCAGCTTCCGGGAGTGCATCGCAGGATTCGCAGCACCAGACTTGTTCGTTCCTGCATCGTACTTCTTAACGGACTCTATAGCCGCTCCTTGCCGCCTCGCCGCGTTCACCAGTTTCGGATCCTTGGTGTCGGCGGCTTTCTGTGGTCGTTTGTGAATGACGACTGGATCCCAGTCTTGTGAGAACGCACCAGGGCCACGGTTCGGCATGGTGATAGCGGTTGAAAAGCGAAAACTAGGATGAGAAACGGACGGAATATGAATCAGGAGTTCCTACACGAAGTGACACGGACACAGATTGAGAAAATGAGAGCCTGATTTTAACAAAATAGGTGGCTTTTGATGCAAGAAGCAAAGGATTCTTCCAACACAAGGCACTGAATTCGCCGAAGGAGGGAAGGCAAATCGGCTGAATAGAAAAGCACTTCATGCATATATGGGTGTGTGGTGTATGCTGGGGCCTGGAAGGAGTTCTTGGGGTTGACGGACATGGAGGGGGGAGGGAAAGGGTGGGGAGAGCGATGCGGGAAAGGATGCGGGGAAGGATGTGAGGAGTGTGTACGGGGAACGAAGCGGACAGGGTACGTGCAGCGGAAAAGGGAGATGGCACAATGGAACTGTCAGAAGTGCTGGCTGAGACAACCGCTTCCGCCAATGACCTTTTCATGCCCGCCAGCATGGCGTGAGCGCAGCCTTGAGATTCCCAAGAAAGGGCGCGAACCTCCAAGTTTCTTGTGGACTCCATCCTTTCGCCAGCCTCCTTGATCACTCACTTCAGCTGTAACACCAGCCAGCGAACTTCGCTACTGGGTCAAGGCCAACCACAAAAGCAACCCGGGATGACGTGGAACGGACGGCTTGCGTGAATGTACTCCCCCAAGCCCATCTGGTAGCTTCCCCAACTCAAATGGTGAGGAAACAGTGATCTGCGAGGGATCGGGGTTTAGAGAATTCTGATGTTACAGGTACTTTTTAGTGAATGATATTATATTTCCAAGGCCCTATGAAAAACATTTCACACATTTGGAGGAGAACACTTCAGACATGTGCTCTGCAGCTTCACACATGATACAAGGCTTGAGAAGCTACGAGGAAATAAATGCATATACACAGCGTCAATTGTAAAGAACTGCGTGTAAAACTGACTTAATAACAACCCATGCAAATGTTAAACAATGTGTAATAAACTGCTTATGGTGTCTCAATCATACGGTACATCCCACCCATTGTAAAATAACTCGTTCATGATCCACGAAACAGGCTAATTTTGGATGTTCTAAAGATTGATTCTATATATCGTGATGGCAACCGTCTTGATCTGTGCACAGCTCTGTAGTCGATGCATTGTTGAATGTGCCACATATTTCTTCCACCATCGGCTTCCAAATCCTCACACGTGCATTGATAAACCAGTTCGAAACCTGCATGAACACAGGCAATACCAAAATCGCAAGGCATATCGGCAGAAGGAATATACATAGATCTGCTTGCCATTCCCTTCTCCCTCCACACGCACATCTCGATATAACTCAGCAGATTTATGAACTGTAGACCTCAAAAACACATTTAATGAGCCCTCACCTGTGCCCGGGTAAGCTGTGTTGCATTAGCAAGCTCATCCTTTTCGTCGTCTGTTGGGTACCTGAAATACACATACACACAGGTTTGTAAGATGGAATGTATCTGCCAATGGTTTGCAAGCGGTTCGTGGTTGACAATGGCACTGCAAAATCACAGTTATAGAATGCTCAGAGTACGTCGCTACTGAGAATTCCTGCAGAGAGTTGATGATTGGGCATAGGCCAGCATGGGTAACACAGGATGACAGAGTTTTTTTTTTAAGTTGATGCAAGTGACTCCATGCAAGAAGACATGAACACACAATCCAGAATTAGCAGTGACTTATGATTTTCCCATGCCCAAATTCACTCATGACCCCATGCCCCCATGCACTCATGCTCCCATACTCTCATGCACCCATGCACTCACGCTCCCACACTGTGATGCCAGCATGCAGTGATTAAAACACTCACGGGCTGAGGAAGTGTGCAAACAGCCAGGCTCGCAGAATGGCGGTCGTTTCATCTGGCAAGCACCGCTGCTGCTGCTGCTGCTGCTGCTGCTGCTGCTGCTGATATGGATGCTGCTCATACTCTCCTTGGCTTCCCTTCATCTGTCCATCCTCCACCTTGACTTCCAATGGAGGTAGGGACGTTGAAGCACCCACGTGCGCCGCCCACTCCTGCTTCTGCTGCGCTTCTCCTGCTCTGCCTGCTCCTGCCTTGTGCCGTGCTTCCATCGCAACTGCTGCTGCTGCTGCTGTGTGCTCTGGACGCTCAGTCCTCTGTAGGTAATGGTGGAAGGTGGGATATGATGCAAGGGAGGCATGAAGGGAGAAAGGGATGAAGGGAGGGAGGGAGGGAGGGATGGATGGAGGGAGGGAGGGAGGGATGGAGGATGTGAGGGAGGGAGGGAGACATGTTGAGGAAGAGAAGGAGAGGGAGAGAAGGCGAGGGAGAGAAGGAGAGAGAGAGAGAGGGAGGGAGAGTGGAGAGATGCAGTACAGATAGGTGTCTAACATGCTTGCCTGTGAGATAGGTGGGCCTCGAACTGTAAAGTGAAGCGGCAACCGCATCTGATGCCATGTTATCTTCTCTCTCTCGCACACATGTTCAAAAGCCGTGTGTAGGTCTCACCATGTGCTGCTCGACAGCCATAGCCACTTCACGGATATTCTTTCATTCTCGACGCAAAAAAGGCCGTGTGTAGGTCTCACCATGTGCTGCTCAATAGCCATAGCCGCTTCTTGAAAGCTCCCGCTCACGATCGCCAGAGACAGGGAGGAGTAGAAATTGGCTGTGCCATCGTTTGCAGCAGAGGCGAGGCGGGAGCGGAGGGACGAGAGAGAGTCGGCGTAGTTATGAAGAGCACGAAGCAGCTGTTGGGAGGGGTTGGGTTGGAAAAAGGGGAGGGATGGGATGGAATCTTTGAGAGGGATGCGATGGAATCTCGGGATACGTGGTAGATGATTGGGGATATGGGGACTAATCGGGGAACACATAGGGGGTCAAGGGGAGGCAATTCGAGCTTGGCTTTGTTGAAGCACCATCCATAGCCTCGTCTCCGTTCTGTTGAGACAGTCTCAAAACTCAAACAGGGAAAGATGAAATGAAAGCACCAGCCTTACACTCACCTCCTCTTTCAGGCTGCGAGCACCGTCCCTCCTGTGACCTCCTCCTCTCCATACTTCCCATTCTTCTCTCTCCTTCCCTCCTCCTGAACTCTCTTCTCCCCCTTTTCCTCCTCCCTCCTCCCTTCCTCCATCATTGCTTCCCCCCCACCCGCGAACAGCACCCCCGTTACAGTCACAGTCACGGTCGCAGTCACCCCACAGCACCGCTCTGTCTCGCAGGGACAGCAGCTGCCGCCAGCGTGCTTCAAATTCAGAGTCACATCCCGTACGGTCACACCCCATACTATCACACACCACATGCGATGCTGCTGCATCTGCTTCTGCTGCTGCTGCTGCTGCTGCTGCGGCTGCTGGTCCTGATTCTGCCGCTCCACCCCCTGTCCCTGCCCCTCCCACCATTCTTTTTTGCCCAGCCGTCCCCTCCCACTCCATTCTCTCCTCTTCACGCTCCCCTGGCTCTTCCTTTCCCTCCTCTCCCCCTCTCGCCTCCTCCTCCCCATCTTCATCCATTCTCTCTCCCTCTTCCTTCACTTCCACATCGCACTCATCCCACTCACCCTTCCCCTCACCCCTCACACCCCCCACATCCCCCTCACCCCCCACATATACCGCACGTACCATCCCCGATCTTGCGTCCTTTACCGGCAACACATGGGACTTCTGACTTGCATCCAAGCCAGCACGCGCCAGACCATCCCCAGGGATCTCCAGTGGTATCAGCTGCGGCATCAGCTGCGGTGCCAGCACCGGCGGCAGCGCTGGTGGCAGCACTGGTGGTTGCAGTGATGGCAGCACAAGCGGCGGCGGCTTCTCAGTCAAGGAGGCAAAGCCATTCGCACGCGTAAGCTCTCTCTTTGTTTCCCCGGCTCCGCTACTCAAGGATGGGTGCAGCAGCAGAGAGTGAGGCATCTCAATATCCGGGAAAGAACCAGGACGAACCAGTGAGGGGGACATGTGTAAAGCCTCTGCACCAGTGCCCAGTGTTAGGTTTGGAGGGGAGTGAGAGAGCGATGGGAGGGAGGAGGGGTGCTGGGAGAGGGTGAGAGGAGAGAGGGGGTGGGAGGGAGGGGAGGCGAGATGGGGGAAAAAGAGAGGGGAGGGCAGTGGAGGGAAGAGGAAGGGAGTGGAGAGCAGGGAAGGGGACGATTCGAATGTAGAATGCGAGGACGTTGTGTGAATGCAGGGAGAGTATGATTGCTGCAAGCCGGCAAGGGAGTATGGACTAGAAGAATGGTGACCGGGCGAATCGTGAAAGGCGGAATGGAGGAAGGTCGAGTGGAAAAGGGGCGTATTCTGAAAGGGTTTGCTTGCGGCATCAAGAGCATGAGGTTGGAGCGATGAATGAGGGTCATGGGGGTTGCTGGTATGGTCACCCAAGGTAGACAATGGAGGCTCAGGTGCCTTTTCAGGTGCCGCTTCAGGTGCCTTTTCAGGTGAATCCGGTTTCACTGCTGTACACGCTGGCTTGGGATCTCCCCCCCTCTGGATAAACTCCCCTCCTATTGGCTGCTCCATAGGATACGTGTCACCCCCTCCAGTCCTTGCCACGTCATCCCCATCGCCACGTGTATGCATGTGCGTATCTTGATCAGCCAACGCACTCGTATCTTTGTCCATGGGGCGTTGATAACTGGGGAGGCAGTCACTCGTATCTATGCCTGCTCTAGGAGCATGAGCCATAGCACCAGTAGGGACAGTAGCGGCAGCAGGGGTAACGTGGGTAGCAGGAGCAGCATCGGTAGCTGCAGCAGCAGCAGCAGTGGTACGCAGTGGGCCTGGGCAGACCTGTATGAGTAGGTCCATACACACGGATAGCAGCAGACTATGGTTGCTGGATAGAGAGAGCGGAGAGAGAGGAGGGAGGTGCGAGATAGGAGAGAGACGGGATGGTTGAGCGGGCTGAGAGGGTGGAGAAGGCGGGGAGCGAGGAGAGCGAGGAGAGGGAGTGGAGAGAGGAGCAGGAGCAACGACTGCAGCTGCTGCTTCTTCCTGCTGCTCCGCAACCTCATCCTCTTCTTCTTCGCCCTCCTCTTCCTCCCACCACATGCCAGCATCCCAATTCTCCTTGATGCCACTGGATTCCCAATCATCGGGGCGTTCAGTCTCAGCAGCAGCAGAGGCAGCAGCAGTGGCAGGAGTAGCAGCAGCAGGAGTATCAGAAGCAACAGTGGCAACGTTTGCAGCAGCAGCAGCGGCAGAGAAATCCGCAGGGAGAGCAGCAGCAGCAGCAGCAGCAGCAGGAGTAGCAGTATCCTCCTTCCCCCTACTGCTGTCGAACCCATCTGCTCCCGCACGGCATGCATTCAGCATCTGCTGCAGTGTGTCGTTATGGTCATATGGATCGCTGGAGGCATGGCAATGTGGATCGTAGAGCTCCTGATTAGGTAGATTGATGGGGCCATGGTTATGTGGATAAAAAGGGTCATGGATAGCATGGTTACGGTGATGGTTATGGTGATAGGGATAGGAGGGATGATAGCTGCATTCACCCTCCTCCTCCCCCATCACCATCTTCATCATCATTCCTGCTGACAGCCGTCCCATCTGCTCCTCCATGTCTCTCTCTCCGAACCACTCTCCTTTGCCGGCAGGGCGGGCAGCACCAGGATCCACTGCCCCAAAAACATCACCATCACCATCACCATCAGTTTCATCATCATCAGCAGTAGGAGGAGCAGCAGCAGCAGCAGCAGCAGCAGCAGCAGCAGCAGCAGCAGCAGCAGCAGCAGTAGCAATAGTACCAGCAGCAGCACTGCCACCAGCAGCGGCATAACCACCACCAGAACCACGACCATTGTCAACATCATGGCAATCAGTGCTAGTAGCGCCTGATATCCCAACACACACCCGACTCCTCCGCCTCCCCCTCTCACCGCTGCTGCTACCCCTGCCTTCACCACCACCCCTCCTCAACCGCTCCCTCCTCTCCCACGCGCGGCACTTGCGCTTCTCTCGGCCGCCTCCTTCCCCACCCTCCCCCAATCCTATCTTGCCCATGCTCTCATCCACACCTTGCTGCTCCCCCTGCTGCAACGGTTGCTGTTGCTGCTTCAGCTGTTGTTGCTGCTGCTGTTGCTTCTCTCCCTGCTGCTGCTGCTCCTGCTGCTGCTTCTGCTGCTCCTGCTGCTGCTGCTGCTGCTGCTGCTGCTGCTGCAGCTGCTGCTGCTGCTGCTGCTGCTGCTGCTGCTGCTGCTGCTGCTGCTGCTGCTGCTGCTGCTGCTGCTGCTGCTGCTGCTGCTGCTGCTGCTGCTGCTGCTGCTGCTGCTGCTGCTGCTGCTGCTGCTGCTGCTGCTGCTGCTGCTGCTGCTGCTGCTGCTGCTGCTGCTGCTGCTGCTGCTGCTGCTGCTGCTGCTCTTGCTGCCGCTGCTGCTCCTGCCACGGCGGTTCACTGACACCAGCAGGACGGCCACGGTCCACCAGCAACGGCGTCGCATCGCCCATGAGCAACAAGTCACTCCATGGCGTGCCGTGAGGCATGCCGCCGCTGCTACTGCCAGTCCCACCAGACCCCAAGCCGACAGGTCCCCCAAGCCTCACACCGCCGCCAGCAACCCCTTGAGTGACGCCCCTACATTTGAAGTCGTTAGCCCTTTCAGACCCCAAGCCGTCAGCCCTTCCGGACACCAGGCCACCACCACTCCCCCCATCGCGCGTCATCTGGAAATCTGATCCCAGGAAGCCCCAATCCTCGCCGTGCCAGTCCGGTATAGAGTGATCCGCTTTAAGAAATCCGCCATGCACTCCTCCATGGTTCGTAATGGTAATCGTACTAACAACCTCCGCCGCTTCCGCAGCCTCCGGAGCGACAGGAGCCGCCGAAACTGCCATATCCTCGCAATTACTATTACTTGAGACATCGCCGTTACCATTATCTTGCGGCCGCGGCGGCACTCGCGGCGACACTCGCGGCGGCGCTCGCGGCGGAAATTCGACGAATTCTGGCATAGTAAAACCGAAGTTACCACTACTACCGTCGTAATGACTACTATTCATAAACGGGTCCGCAGCGGAGGTGGCGGAAGGCGGAGGGTCGGTACTCGCGTCGCACTGGCGCGTTCCGCGTAGCCGCTCCTTCAGTCGCCCGAACGACTTTTTCCTCGTTACAAGCAGGTCGCGCTCCATGTCTCGGTTAGGGGAACCGGTCGCCTTTTAGTTACTGCTGTCGGTACACGCAGCAGCTGTGCCCGACAGCGACCACTCAGTGCCTAACGGTTAGGACTCCAAATTTTGGAAGGAACGTTCTGGGCGAACGTATCCCGACGCTTTGGCCTAGCAAGAGGAGGTTGACAGTATCCTGACCACAACGTATCTCTGACTGCGTTGGAACAACGGGACGGTGACAACGGAGAGTTTGCTGGTACAGAAAAGGGAGACTGTTAGTTTTTTCAACAGGACTACTAGTAAGTATTTTAAAGGTGTCGCTGGTATTACCACGGCATGTCGTACGGAAAATCCTGAGCACGCTTTGCTGGTTATGCTCCGCCTTCAACTTAAATACCTCGCAGCGACCAGCGCTTGGACAGGGGAATGCGAAAGAACCTGAATTGCCGTCCTTCCGCCACACTTTGCCCCTGCTCCACTCTGACTGTACGGACAACTCCCGGCTGAGGGAGGTGGGTGTGTGAGGGTGGGTAGGAGGGAGAGGGCTTGTGCTTGCTGGGTGGGGTGGAGAGAAGTGGAGAGGTGAAAGGCGAAGATGCCCTGTCATGTTTTGAACGAAACAGCAGAAATGTGGAAAATCGGACCGCATCCTGGGCCACATTTCTGAGCCACATGCGATGCGATGCGATGTGCTGCGATGCGATGCTATGCGGTGCCAGCCCCGCCGGGAACGCGATTCGACATGACATGACAGAACTGGTTGCGGCGCGGAACTCAGGCGAGGTGACGAATTGACAGGACGATTCGAATGTACACACAGAGCAGTAACGCACGGTGCAAAATGCCAAGAAATGTTACTCAACACTAAAACCATTTTCCAGCTTGTGCTAATCTGGTTTACATTCAAAGAATAGGATACCGTATTTAGACTTCTCGGGGGGAGTCCTTGCCGCCTGTGACAGTAAGGAGCGGTCTGTCATCAGAATGATCTTCGGAAGCCGCTAAGTCCTTCAAGTCCTCAGCTGATGCAGCTGCACGCATCGTCATCTTGTTCCATTCATTCTCTACTCTGAAAAATACCCACTGGAATCGGCGTGCCATTTCCAGTGCTGTGACCACGAAGGTTGTGGCGAGGTTGTTGCGAAGGTGAGATGAAAGCTTGTATGTCCAGGAGATGCGAAGAACAAGGTTGGAGCACATAACCCAGTAGTACACCTGCCAAGCAAGTCGCAGCAAGTTTTAGGGCAATGTAATGCGTACTAGAACTATGCACCACTGTCACTATCCAGGATTTTATGGCAAATATTGCTTGTGGTAGGTGGTTTCTGGAGCAATAGATAAAGGCATGAAGGGATCAACATTATGAAGAGATACGGCATAGAGTGCGTACCCATCTTTGTGGAAAGTAGAGGTTGCTGCGGAGAAGAGGGTTTCGCGAGTTGCAGTTACCAGAGAAGCACCTGAAGGAAAGGTATGGGAGCAGGCGTGCGGTGAGACAGGGAAAGGAATGGGTTGAACAAAGAAGAACAAGAATCAGATATGGTTACAAAGCAGAGGGCATAGGTATGTACTATGTATGTAGAAAGTGGAGAGAGCTCCAACAGGCGATGAAATTTACGAGAGAAGAGTGCACAGCTAACAGGGCCAACAAAGAGACAGCTCCAGCAGGAGTCATCAGCAGCGAACCCTGCCGCAGGAGGAGCAGCAAGAGAAAGTACCCAAACTTTCAATCTCGTGATGCATCCCAGCAGTAGGAAAAAAAAACAAGTTGACTACCAAGGCAAGTTTCGAGGCTCCTCAAACGTAGGAGCAGCATGAGTACGTACCCGAAGTCCCAATCTCTTGATATATCCCAGTAGTAGGAGTAGCATGAGTTGACCACAGACGCCATGAGCCACAGTGGGCGGTACACCGCTCTCCACCGCTCGACAGGCACATGGTACTTGGTGGCTGATAGGATGATCACTGGGAATGCTGTTGAATACTTCAGAGCTGTAGAGGAAAGCAGGTGGCAGAAGGGAAGGCGGGGGGAAGGCAGGAAGTGGCAATAGGTTTCCATACGCGCCTAAAAAACGATCGCTGTCGACTTGAGAGCTGCAGGGCAAAACATGTAGCAGAAGCGAAGGTGCAAGCGAGGGAGGGAGGGAAGGAGGGGGGGGGGGGAGGGAGGAGGGAGGGAGGGAGGGAGGGAGGGAGGGAGGGAGGGAGGGAGGGAGGGAGGGAGGGAGGGAGGGAGGGAGGGAGGGAGGGAGGGAGGGAGGGAGGGAGGGAGGTTGGGAGGAAGGAAGGGAGTTAGGGAGGGAGGGAGTGAGGGAGGCAGGGAGGGAGGGAGGGAGTGAGGGAGGCAGGGACAAAGAACCAAGAAGCAAAGAAGAAAGAATGTCGACTAGTACATGAGAGCTGCAGGGCAGTTAGGTAACAGAAGCAAAGTTCTGAGGGTGGAGGGAAGGAGGTATTGGTGGAACCAAGAAGTGAGGGGAGGGAACCATGGACAGAGGCAAGTAAGGAGAAAAGGTAGGTAATAGAGAGGGTACCGCGTGCAAGAGGGGGAGGATTGTGGATGAGCATTGAGAGATCGCAAGAGACCGATGGACGGAGAAAGCAGGGTATGAAGCTCTGTCCCTGGCCGGTTTGCTCCAAAAAAGCGCTAGAAAAGTTGACCTCCAGGTCAGAAAACCCAGCGTATAGCCTAGGGTAGCGCTTTTCTGTCAATGTTTCTTAGATTGGAGAACCATGCACACATGCATGCAAATCTGCAGACGCACCATGAGCAGGAAGGACTTGTCGCAGGTATCGGAGAACTGCGTCCTGCTGCGTCCTGCGTCTGGACGCAGCGTCCAGACGCAGAGACGCAGGACGCAACCTGTTTTTTTTTTTCGGGCTGACTGGAAAAAAAAATTGCCCCAGCGTGAAATTGACTCTAACGATTTCGACGCGACTGTTAATTTCGCGTCATGTCGACCCCCCCCTAGAGGGTTTACCAAAACAATTCTCCTTCGTAAACCCTGAACCCTGAAAAAATTGAAGGGGACGATTTTGCCTCAAATGTGTGCATCGTCGTCCCCCCCCCCGCCCCCCTTCCCATACCCTATAACATCATATTTCGGCTGCCCGGGGGTTTTTTTTGCCCTGCCCGGGCATGCATCTTTCCATGCGTCCTAAAGGCCCTCCTCTAGCGTCCTGCGTCTAAGACGCTGCGTCTGGAAGCAAGCGTCCTAGACGCAGGACGCGTCTTTCTCCACATAGGGTGCAGGCACTGGAATTTTTTGTAGTTGGGTCAAGAATTGTTTTGGGTCGACTCAAAGGACTAAGGACGCACCATTGAGCAGGCAGGACTTGTCGCGAGTGTCGGAGTACTGGCGCAGGCATTGGAAGAAGCGGCAGGCGTAGGGGAAGGCGAGCACGATGGGGATCATGAGGGAGTGGCTGCCGCACACGTCCCCTGCGTCCATCCATGCTATACTAGCCACCTGGTGGGATGGTTGGGAGAAGCAGGGTTGGGGGAGGTGGCTTCTGAGTCGACAATAATAATCATGAGGGAATGGCTGCCACACACATCCCCTGCGTCCATCCATGCTATACTCGCCACCTGGTGGGGAGCAGCAGGAAGACATGGGATAGTTCGAGGGAGGTGGTTGGGAGAAAGTGGGGACAATTAGGAGGAGTTGGTATGCATCAGGAGAGATTATACGAAGCTGGAGGTGAAAGGATAAGGTAGGTGGAAAATGGATGTGAAAGGGGATCTTGAGTGTCGTAGCTCAAGGTCAGACAGTCCGACAGACAGACAGAGGAACACACCTGGCCATGGGACATGCGGCAGATGGATCGCTCCACATCAGACAACACCTGCAAGAGACACAAAGCACGAGGAGAGGCAGTGGCAGCACAGGAGAGACACATAGTGGGAAGGATTAGGGTTTAAATCTGAGAAAGGGGCTGTGAAATGGGACGGAATAGGGGCAGAGGTAGAGCACATCAATGGTATGACACACCACAGCAGGGAAAAACGGGTTTCCATGCAACATGATGCATGCAATGCAATGCATACCTTGGCCATAATGGCACATCAATATGAGGGGCATGGCGCATCACAAGACAGCACAACTAACAGAACCCCGTGCGGGAAGAGATGACACCCGATAGCATGCAATGCAATGTAATGCATACCTTGGCCATGGAGGTAAGCACGTCAGCGACAAAGAAATCCGCAAACGTGATTGGCTGCGGCAGAGTTGGGGATGGGGTGGGGGGGGATTGGACAGACGTGTGGAATAGCATGGGGAGGGAATGAAAGAAGCAGAGACTTCTGAGGCGACTTAGACTTAGAAGGCAAGATGAGGGTGATGTGCAGGGCAGGGAACAAGGAAGAATGCAGAATGGGATACTGATGGGAGAAACTGGTCCAGAAGAAAGTGAAGTGAGAAGGGGAGCAAGGAGACGAGAGGAGAGGGGAGAAAGTGTTGGAGAAGAGGTTGTAGGGCAGGAGGGGAAAGGGGGACGGGGCAAGGGTGGGGAGATACAGGGAAATCAGCAGGGATGAGAGAAAGGATGGATTGGAAATGATGGGGAGAAAAGAGCACCACGCAACAATAAAGAGCATGGTCCTCTAACTTGCGCTTTGAATTTCCCCACACCGCTCTTCCTTCCCCTGGCTTCCCCACATTGTTCCCCCCCCCCCTCTCTCCCTCCTGCACTCCAACCCCCCTCCCTTCGTGCTTCCATCCCTTGCCTCCCCCACTTGCTCCCTCCGCCCCTCACTCATCCGCGCCCCTAACTCACTTGCAGGGGGAAGGTGAGTCGAAAGAGAGTGGTGAGGAAGTAGACGCGAGAAGGAGCGTAGAGCACATCAAAGGGCAGGGCGAGGGTGAGGGGTAGAGAACAGTACATCAGAACCTGGAATGTGGGGCATAGGGGCATGGCGCATGGCACGGGGTAGGGGACATGGGGCACAGGGGATGGGGCAGGCGCAGGGGAGATGGGCAAGGGGGGAGCATGGGGCATCGGCCAAGGGTCATGGGGCATGAGGCTTGGGGCATGAGACATGGGGCAGAGAGGGGGAGGGACAAGGGGACAGGTGTGAGAGGGGAACAGACATGTGACAAAGAGACGGAGATTTTGAAACGAAAAATCCTTGGCGAGGCAAGGAGCAAATCGGGAGTTGTGGAGGGGAAAGTTGCAGCAGAGAAGCTGCAGAGAAAACGGAAGGATGGTGGGCGTGCATGCATCATGCTTTGGAAAGTGGTCGCATGGATGTGTGAAAGTGGAAAGAGGAATAAGAGGCTGGTTCGAGCAGACAGATGGGTGGAAGGGGCATACAGACCAGAGCTGTTTGAGAGAAAGAATGGGCACACACATGCCATACTGTTTCACGCCATACATCCCAACCCAACCATGCCATCACCATGCCATCCCGTTCATGCCATGCCATACCATGACATGTCATGCCATGCCATCCACGCTGGCTTCACTGCAACGGCCAGGCATGCCCATACAGGTTGTGTTGCGGCGAGGTTGATGAGGCCGTGGGAGAAGAGGAACATGTAGGCTGTCATGGAAGAGAGCACTGCCAGGGACAGCGCTGCTGACACCTGGGAGGGGAGGGGCGAAGAGAGGAGAGGAGAAGGGCAGACAGGGGTGGAGAGCGGGAAAAGAAGGCGTTGGGGAAAGGAGAAGGGGGGGGAAAGGGGGGGAGGGGAAAGGGGTAAGAAAATGGAAAGGTGAAGGGCGAGCGAAGAAGTAAAAAAGTCGTTGGGAGGGGAGGGGGCAAACTTGCGACGGGGGATGGAAGTGATAGGAGATGAGATGAAGGGGAAGAGGCAAAGAACTCCATGCACGTACTCACACTGCATACCCATGTTCACACTCAAACCCAAACCCCAAACTTCAAGCCCTGAAACACCCAAGCCCTGAACCCTGACCACATACCCTCTCTTCTCCCCTCCCCCTCACCCCCCTCTTTCCCCACTCCTTCCCCCCCCCCGCTTTCATAGGCATTATCAGCGAGCACGTGACGAGGGAACAGCCATTGACCTGCCATATTTGCGTGTGCGTGAGGTGGTTGTGGTCCAGGTCGAAGACCTTGGCGTAGCTGACCCGCGAGTGCGCCAGCCCATACAGGTTGATGCCCCACAGCCACACCATCAGCGCCTGGGGGGGGGGAAGGAGCAGTGGGAAGGAGGGGGGGAGCATAACGGCTGCTTTGGTAGGGGCGTTTGGAGTTCACATTTGAATGGCTTGGTTGTACATGATGCGACTAAAAGCTCGCCTCTTTGCACATGCCACATGCGATCACGAGCAGCGGAGTTCAGATTGTCATCAGTTAAGGGGCTGCTGTTGAGGCGCCTCAGAACCGGTATCATCACACAGACAAAGAGGGCACGTACGATCATGACATGAGGAGAGGGTTGGAGTAGACAAAGACCTGGTACATAGAGGCTGAGTCTCTTTGAGAGACCGGCTCGTAGTCACACGGACTGGCTGACAGCTCACGTACAATCATGAGGAGGGGGTTGTAGTAGAGAAAGGCCTCATAGAAGAGGACTGAGTGGGTCTCCTTGAGAGAGGCCTGAAAGGCCGTCTCATCTCATCACACAGACTGACAGAGAGCGCACGTACAATCATGAGGAGTGGGTTGTAGTAGAGGAAAGCCTCGTAGAAGAAGAGGGACTGCAGGCTGCGATCCATGCGGTCCACTGAGTCCTTCATCACCTGCGGGGCGAGAGGGGAGAGAGAGAGAGAGGGGGGGGGGGGGGGGGCACGCAAAGGAGAGGGCAAGGGGAGAGACTTTTGAGTCGACTCGGAAGAAGAGGGACTGCAGGCTGCGATCCATGCGGTCCACTGAGTCCTTCATCACCTGCGGGGAGAGACGGGCGCACAGATGGGAGCGCAGGGGGGGGCAGGGGGAGCGGCAGAGGGAGCGGCACAGGGAGGGCAGGGGGAGGGCAGGGGGAAGGCGGGAGAGGGGAGGGGGAGGGCAGGGTGGGGTCAACGGAGGGGGGCAAGGGAGAACGTAGGGGGAGGGCAGGGGGAGGGCAGGGGGGCAAGGGTTAGCGCATATTTTTGCAAGCTGAGCACAGAGGGAAGAGAGGGACGAGAGAGGAGACATTACTGAGATAGCGGGCGAGAGAACCAAGGGCAGGGAGAGGGGGTTAAAAGGGGTGATAAGAAAGTGAGGGGTGTGGAACGGGAAAGGGGGAGGGGGAAGAACGGGGAAATAGGCGAGAAGGGACAAAATGAGGGGTGAGAGAATGGGAGATGATGGAGTGAGATAGAGTGAGAGGGAGGTGGTCCAAGGAGCAAAGAGAAAGGGTGTTCAGGTGAAGGGGGGAGGGGAAGGGGAAGGGGAAGGGGAAGGGAAAGGGAAGGGGGTAGGCGCCTCGAAAGAGTTTGTATGAAAGAAGGGTTGTCAGAGGAGAGACAATTGAAGTGGGGGCTAGGGAGATTCGAGGAGGAAGGGACCAGGAAGAGCAAGTCTCACCTTTAAACAGAAGACGATCCATAGCAGTCCGAGACCCCACTGCATGGATTGGTTGAGGATGGGCGAAGGCGGCGAAGACAATGCGTAGGAACGAACACAGAAGAACGTCATACAGACACAGACACCAGACAGATCACACGCGCACAAACACACCCACCCCGCACACACATACCCACGCACACCCACACCACACAAGCACGCACATACACACACCAGACGTACAGATGCACACACGCACACACAGACGCGCGCAAATACACACAAACAAGCACGCGGATTTGAGGGAGGACGCAGTGAGGAAAATGGAAAGAACTTATGGCCGACCAATCGGGTGTGCTAAAAGCTCAATCACTCTGCTACACCACGTGGAGCAAACTGCAACTGATCATCGTCTGAAGACCAAACACGCTCTATCCTGCTCGTGTATGCCGATTCGCCAACTGCAATCCGAGTGACAACAGACTTGAGTAAAATAAACGAAAATAGCGAGTCAGGCAGTGAGCTGTAGCCAGTCGCGCGTACGAATTGCATCGTCTCAGATGTATCGACAAACGATAGGTTCTGGTCTGATGCTCCATGATAAGGAGGCACAGGCGCAAGCGATGGCGGACAATATATCCCACACAAAATTGTCCAAGAAGGGAGAGTTTTAGCAGCTCCTTGAGAATCATTGTCAACGGGTGACCACAGATAACCTGAACTTGATGCGCCTACCTGGATTCGGCTTCGTCGCATCAAGGGAAGGATGAAGGTGGTCAGGGTCGCCGGTCCTGTCATTTTCGAAGGGGACATAAGCCCTGGCGGTCCGGATGTGCCACTGATAGACGGGCTGGACGTGACCAATGACGGCTTGCCACCTGGCGATCGCGGGGGGTCGACCCCTCCGAGCATCGCCAGATGCGAGCCGGATAACCAGCCGAAGAGGAGCTTCTTTCTCGCCAGGAGCGCGGTGACGCCTAAACGGGCGTCATACACGGAAGACTATATATGACGGGTACGGAGGCCGCTTTTCCGAAGGAGGGTTCTGGAAGGAGCAATGAGGGTGATAGCTACCAAGGGGGAATAGGTAGATCCAGGCGACTGGAATGTCCTGGAAATAGATGGAGCAAAAATGCGATGCGGTTGACAATTGGCGGTGCTGACGATTGGTGTGACTGATCTGGGATGCTGTGGTCTGGCTATGGTTAGTCATGCTCTATGGTGTGATTCATAACGTAGACGGCGACATGCCTCCGGCAATGAAAGACACAGGATGAGCGACTATGGCTGGTAAGATGGTGGTGGATGTTGACGGACACTACAACATAACCTGTTACGTCCAAGGATGAAGGGGAAAGAGAATAGTTACTAGAGCCAGCGACGGCGTCGGTTCGGATGCACAGGGGTACGTGGTCCGAATGGATTATGTATCGGCCTGTCCGTCCACGCATGCATCTAGTGCGACGGTACGTAACAAAGAATCTTAGCAGGCTAGAGTCCAGACTCGCATTTGACCCATGTCATTCGTAATAGGCCACCTTACCACGCTTTTACCACAGCAGATTCCTTCAGCTACAGAGGATTGAAGATGAGCGAGCAGGAGAAACCCAACTGACAGACAGAAGAGCGGGAAACAAATCCCAAGGCAGGAATCGTCGCACAGAAAAAGCTGGTGAAGCCTCGAGCCAGTCGCACACAAGCCCTTCGAGCACTGAACTGGTGGCGGGCGACATGAAAGTGGTCGCAAGAATGCTGGAGTTCCATGTTGAAGTCGCAACACTGAACCGCGATTGGCTGGATCTTCACCATAGAAGTTCACGAAGCGAGAGGAATGTTCGCCTCACCAACTTCTCCCACAGCGAATCGGGAGTTCGAGGCAAAATTCTCCAGCTTTTCCTGCCAGACCAAATGGTAGTGGATGGATCTGATTGGTACGTTTTAGGTCAGGAGGACTCAAGAGTTGTGGGAAAGGGAATTGTGCTCCTCGCTGCAATTTGGCACCTGGTTGACCGCGTACTCGCATGAGGCATTCGCCATTAAAAGGTACCGTACTTACACACTGTTAATAGGTGACCAGTATTGCTTTATGACAACATTTTCCAGGCATGCTAACGTAGAGTTATTCCACAATGTAATGTGTAACTCAATATTAGTAGTATCAACTTTACCATTTAATCATAAAATAATTATTCTACTTGATCTATCTTTCCTCACGTACAGATCTCAATTGAGGATTGAGAACAATGGGCCCTTTTGAAGAATCCTGCATACCAAAACACAAGTGGGAGAAAATAGTGCATATTCTGAGATCTTTGGCTGTATGATAAACCTACACTGTTACCATGCATGTGTACATGGTGGCATGTTAGCAACCGGGCATCAAGTATTTTCCCACAATGACTGTGCAGCAGTTCCAGAGTCTGAATCCCTACATACCCTAGCACTGCAAACCCTAGTCTTTCAAACTCTCAGACTTGTGTAGGCTACTGATTCCTTAGCATGCAGTTTTTAAGAATGCCCTCTGTAACACGAACCAAGTCAGGTCACTGTTTCATCTTACCCACTCGGAAGGTGTAGATGCCAAGTGTGTTACAAATGTCGTAACACACCCCGACTGCAAAGTGGGCGTAAAGATAACCTGCAAGCAGCAGCACCACGAGCAGAGAGACGGGCGGCGGCGGGGGGACGCGCTTAACGCTAATGGAAGGAGCTGTAACAGCAAAAAGGGTCTCCTCAACTGTAATAAACTTCATTCGGTTGACTGGACTGGCGGAAAATTAACTGGAAATCGACTTGGACTTGACTGAGAGTTGACTGAGTGGATGCCTAACAATGCACAGAGGAGACAGACCTGTGTGTGCAGCATACAGCAGCAGCAATGGAAACTCCGGAAGAGGGGTTTGAAGGGGCCCAGGAGACGCGGTGCTGCTGGGAGAGGCGTGTACATCGGTGGGATGTATGTACAAGGCGGGTTTTTTCTGGAGAGCTGTTTACTCTTTGAGAATCTCCTTGCACGGTGTATCCACCTCTTGAGGCGCCTAAAAAACAGGCTCACACGTGGTGTAAGCTGGGTGGAGTGGGATTTTCTCGTGAAAGGTGTTTACTTTCCAAGAATCTTTTTGCATGGTATATTGCATCGGAGGATTCAGCAATGACAGCAAAATCAACATGGAAGCGGGATAGGGCCAAAGATGAAACCCCGGGGTAAGGGGCAGTGAAGGAACTGGAGAAAAGAAGGTGCAAAGGTTGATGCCTCACGCAAGGTGTGAACTACACAGAGTAGCAGCATCACTGGTGCACAAGAAAAGAAAGGAGCAGCGGAGAAAAACAGAGAGAGTGATTTGGGCCGGAAACTGGCCTTACCTTTTAATGAAGTGCGGCCAGGCTGCGTTGACGAGTGCTATCGTAAGGAAGAAAAGAGGCTGGAGGGCAAGATGGGGAGTGGGGAGAGCGTGTGGAGGAGTGGGAGGTGATGGAGGGGAGGAGAGGGGAGGGGAAGGAAGTGGAGGAGAGGAGAGTGGAGGATGAAGCAGGTGAGTGAGGAAGGTACAGGTGAGGAAGATACAGGTAACATTACTGAAGATCCAGATAAAGAAGCAGCAGCTGGGTGGAAAATACACAAGGGATAATCTTCAAAGAAGAATTCTTAAAACTGAATGCGGCACTCGGAACGGCCTATTTTGAGTCGACTCAAAACAATGAATGCGGCACACGGAACGGCTTATGACGGATGCAACAGCGGCCCAGAAAACAAGATTCATTGAGATCACAGCAAGTCAGTCGGAACTGCGGGATAGACGCTGCAGCGATTGAGAAACAGAAATTCCAGTATGTCACCCAGTCGCTCTTGTTGCTGCACGCGTCGCAGCGTTGAACATCAAGTTTCTGAACGCCTGCAGAAAACGCCTGTGGTTGCACGCATTGCAGTGCTGGAGAATAAAACAAAAAAACGCCTGCAACAACAAATGTCGGACCTGCATCATGGCTGCTAGTAGCCCTTCACTCTCCCTGGTGAGGTGCGCGAGAATCATTCGGCCCTGCCATTGCATGGCGTGGGATGGGATGGCGTGGGATGGGATGGGATGGGATGGGATGGGATGGGATGGGATGGGATGGGATGGGATGGGATGGGATGGGATGGGATGGGATGGGATGGGATGATTTAAAAAGGAACGGGATGGTATGTGGCATGGCACGATATAATATGGCGAGGAAATAAGGGGAGATACGAGTGCTAATTGAAATGAAGGAACAAGAACAGGATACCAACCAGCACTGAGAGAGAAAGAGACAAGAAGCTTACCACAAAAAGAGCGAAATAAAAAACACCTCAAATCTCAAAACTTTTTGAGATGTCTCAAAACAGGAGCAATAGCAGGATACCAACGAACACGAAAGCGAAAGCGAAAGAGAAAAGAAGCTTACCACGATAAGAGCAAAGGAGAAGCAGAGGGCGAGAAAGAAGAAGTGCGAGTGATTGGGAATAACGGCTGAAGGAGACATTACTGCCCTGCAGTCAGAGAGAAGAGAGAGGACGGGGAAAACAAGGGATGATGATAATGATGGAGTGGAGTGTGGTGCAATGGGAAAATAGGAATGATGAGAAGAGATGAAGATGAGACGAGGATGAGGCTTGAAAAGGGATGACAGCAGACAGAGAGAAAGTGCGGTTGCCTGAGAGACAATGAAAGGAAAAACCAGAAAAGGAGAAACCAGCAAGATTAAGAAAGTTGAGTGGTGAGAGGGCGAAGGTACATACCAGGCAACTGTGAAGCTTGCTAGAGCGACATATGGGACTAGCTGGTGGACGTACTACCAACATTCACCAGGTGTTGAAACCTAAGTTGCTGCCACGTATTTCCTCAATGGCACCTAACTGGTGTCCACTTCCGGTGAGAGCGCGAAGGTACATACCAGGCAACTGTGAAGCTTGCTAGGGCGACATATGGGACTAGCTGGTGGAAGGAGGGGAAGGGGATGGGGAAGGGGATGGGGAAGGGGATGGGGAAGGGGAAGGGGAAGTCGCATGGACAGAGGATGGGGAAAAGAAACAAGTGTAAATACCGAGATAAAAGAAGCTAAAACGGAGCCTTGACACACCCTCCTTTCCATTCCTTCCCATTTCCAATCCTAAGAGCTAAAACGGAACTATGTTAATCTTCACCAGCTCCATTCGCTTTTGATGCGCTACCGTAACGAAAAAAAATCCCCATCCATTCTCCATTCGCCTTGCGCAGAGAGATCCCAACCCTGTCTTACCAGCAGGGCAGCAAAGAGCGTGGTGTCCTGCTCAGCAAAGGGCACTGCTTGCCCTGCCCTGCGCTTCTCTTGCACTTTCCTTCCCTCCAGAGGTACGGCATGCATGCACACACACACCCTCTCGTACCAGCAGGGCAGCAAAGAGCATGTTGTTCGCAAAGGGCACTGCTTAACCCGCCCTGCGCCTCTCCTTTTGAGGCGCCTCAAAACTCACCCGAACACACCCACTCGTACCAGCAGGGCAGCAAAAAGCGTGGTGTCGGCAAAGGGCACTGCTTGCCCTGCTTTGCGCCTCTCTTTCTCCCCTGACCTCACTGCTCTGAGCACCGTTGCCAAACTGCAGAAACGTGAGAGGAGAGGAGGAGAGAGGAGAGAGGAGAGCATGAAAGAGAAGCGGACAAGATTGAAAAGGCTGCAGAGTGAGGAGTGTGTGCCTGACTGGTCACGTGCGCCTCTCTTTCCCCCCAGACCTCACTGCTCTTAGAACAGTTACGAAGCTGCACACAGAAGTTTGGAGATACGGGACGAGGGGAGAAGGTAGGAGAGGGGAGGAGAGGGGGGCGACGGGAGGAGAAATGAGAGGGGAGGAGAGGGGGGTGAGGGGAGGTGAGGGGAGGAGAGGGGAGGAGAGGGGAGGAGACGGGAAGAGACGAGAGGAGGTGAGAGGAAGCGAGGAGAGGAGGAGAGGAGAGTGGAGGGGAGGAGATGAGGAAAGGAGGAGAGGAGGAGAGGAGAGGAGAGGAGAGGAGAGAGGAGAGAAAAGCAAACGAGACTGAGAGACTATGTAGTGAAAAGGCGAGGGACCAAGAGAGTGGACATCAGTATTGAGACGCCTCGAAATGTGCAGAAACAAGAGGTCGACTGTTGAGGCGTCTCAAAAGTGAAACGACGAGGGGGCGTCGCGAGAAAATGCACGACAATAGGTGCTGGTGCTCTATCGAATTCCAGATGTGCAAATAGCAGCACCCAACCCGTGCTGTTTGTGACACACACACACGACGACAGTACCACTACCACGTGACTTTGCGCACCTCAATATCGCATAACGCAACACATTTCACAAATACGACGCGCTACAGCCCAAGATATCACCTACAGAAATCATAGTTTCCTTCTGGAGAAATTCAAGAATTTACAAAGTTGTGGGAAAGCAGGCCTTTCCTTGCTCACAGGTGGCTTGTAAGAATTCTGGAAAAAACCAAGTTTGCGCGCCTTCGCGCTGCAACAGCAGAGGCGTGGAAAGCGCACGCCTCAGTTGCTCACAGCCGTGGGGAACACGAAAATCAGGAGCAAGTGAGTATCGGGTCGACCCAAGAGACACCAGAGCACACGGCAGGCCTTACTTACTTGCTCACAGCCGTGGGGAAGACGAAGAGAGGGAACTGCAGGAGCAGGAGCAGGAGCAGGTGCTGTTTGAGTCAAGACTATAAACCCACCAGGGTACATGACAAGACTTACTTGCTCACAGCCGTGGGGAAGACGAATAGAGGGAACTGCACGAGCAGAAGCAGGTCCAGACGGGACAGCGAGGCTGCAGAGGGATGAGGCACGAGGAGAGGTAGTGGAATAAAGGAGCAGGAGAGGTAGTGGAATAAAGGAGCAGGAGAGGTAGTGGAATAAGAGTCCGCATCTTGAACCTTGAACCTTTATGAACCCTGCACTCACACACAGCACTACTCGTTTTTTTTAATTTTCTTCTTCCTCCTCTCCGAAGGGCAATTAGAGAACTTTAGAGAATGCTGCTCGGCCAGCCTAGGAGAAAGAATTATACTTTTCGAACGAACGACGGTGGAGAGAGCAATCGAAGAGAGATAAGGGGGGTGGGAGGGGAGGGTATGCGTTGGGTACGGGAGGTGCAGCGCAGGAGGCACCGCGCGTGCGGAAGGAAATGGCTTCAGTCGCATGCAACGGACGGCACTGACCGATGCGTTGGAGGAGTGGCAGGTGCGTGTGCATGTGGATAGTGCTGGAAGGTAGAAGGACTATGCTCTATGGCGCCTCAGAAAGAGGAGGACACGGAAGACGCAGGGAGGGAGGGAAAGCAAGGGCGGAGACGGCACTGACCGATGCGTTGGAGGAGTGGCAGGTGCGTGTGCATGTGGATAGTGCTGGAAGGTAGAAGGACTATGCTCTATGGCGCCTCAGAAAGAGGAGGACACGGAAGACGCAGGGAGGGAGGGAAAGCAAGGGCGGAGACGGCACTGACCGATGCGTTGGAGGAGTGGCAGGTGCGTGTGCATGTGGATGGTGCTGGATGGCGGGAATAGCAGAACTCCCCACCAGTCCTGACCTGGGGAGGGAGGGAGGAGGGGAGGGAGGGAGGGAGGGAGGGAGGGAGGGAGGGAGGGAGGGAGGGAGGGAGGGAGGGAGGGAGGGAGGGAGGGAGGGAGGGAGGGAGGGAAGGAGAAAAAAAGAGGGAAGTGGTGGATGGAAATTTTACTTGTAGTAGAGAAACAAGTGAGGAGGAGAAGACGCAGAAGCGCAATCGGTTAGTTGAGACGCAGGAAAAAAATCAGCACCCCCATGCAGGCAAACTAACTTTGTAGACCAAAAGTCTAGTTTTGAGACGTCTGAACCTAAATTTTTTAGACCAAAAGTCTACCTTTGAGACGTCTCAACCTAACTTTGTAGACCAAAAGTCTACCTTTCACGGCGTACGTACCCTTGTACGCCGTGAAGAGAAAGAAGCCGCAGAGAGTGAGCAGGCCTTCTGTGGGGCCGTTCACAATGGGCAGCACGAGGGAGTGCGTGAAGAAGCTGTGCGGGACGGAGAGACGACGGGGGAGAGGAGAGTGGTAAGGTAGGAGGAGGGAGGAGGGAAGAGGGAGAGGAGAGTGGGGAGAAATGGGCAGCGAGAGGGAGTGTGTGTGGGAAGGAGGGACAACGGGGAGTCGGGGGTTGAGGTTGAGACAAAAGCAGAGCAAGAAAGAGGAGGGAAATGGGCAGCAGGAGGGAGTGGGTGAAGATCCTGTGGAGAAATGAGGGACAATAGGGGGTGGAGAGTGAAGTTTGGAGAAGTCAGAGTGGCTGAGAGCCTGAGACCCTGTTAGGGAAGAAAAACGAGGCGGAAGGGGGAGGGAGAGGGGGAGGAGCGTGGCGAAAGACGGGCAAGAGAGGCAAGGAGATGCATCATTCGGTGGCATCGAGAATGGGAAAGGTGTTGGGTGCACCTGTGATATATAAGGGGAAAGGGTGGAGGGAGAGACTGTTGCACCATAAATTTATCCATTAAACATGATGAGGAGTGGGGAGGAACGGATGCCATGAGAAGATAAGCTTGCAAGAGCTAGTGTTCCCAACATTGATGGGTGTGTTACTCAGGACGTAACAAAAAGAAACCTAACAGAAAGTACCTCCTAGTCCAATATGACATGACTCCATGGCCCAATGGATAAGGCGCTGGTCTACGGAACCAGAGACTCTGGGTTCGATCCCCAGTGGAGTCGTTTGTTTAGATACTATTTCTTTGAAATTCTGTTACTCCACTATCTCTAATTGATAGGTAGAGCACAGAAATTCAAAATTATTCGACCTCTACAACTACAATCAACCTTTTAGACGCCTCATGACCTTAGACCTCATTTCATTCGTTGCCTCCCAAGGTAGACCACAACTCAAGTCTCCTCACCCAACCCCAGTCCGTCCCATCTCGCCTCACCCGCAGCAGACTCTGACGTTTTCCAAATCGATGAAGGAGGTGGAGTAGCGAGCCAGAATGACTTTCATGTCTACTGGAAAACAATCGTTTCCGAATTGAATCTACTCATTAACCACCACTTTTGCCCCGAACCGTAGGTTATCCCCAGCAAAGACTTACGTTTCCCAACTGGCAAAGAAGAACGTGGAGGATGAGACAAGCCAGAAGAGAGGTGCGTGCGACCCCATCATTCCCGCTGCTGCAAACGGTAGCACCTCCAGCTGTGGCACGAGGGGGTGGCAGAGCGCAGAGGCAGGGAGTGCAGCGACGGTGAGTGAGGGTTTGATGGCTAGGGATTTTGAGATGTTACAAAAGACCTTCATTTGTGAAATGCGGGGACGGCAGACAGCAGGCGGCAGGGGAAATGGGTGAGAGTTTGATGCAAACTCGCTTGCAGATAGGAATGGTTGCAATAGAAGAGAATTGGAAGGCGCTGGCATGCAGAGCAAAGGAGGCTCACACAGGAGCAGTAAGAGATTTGCTACAAGGTTAATAAGAACAATGTTGCTGCATGTGGGTACCAGCCTCACTGCATGTGGTTGCCAGCCTCACTGCATGGTTACCAGCCTCACTGCATGGTTACCAGCCTCACTGCATGGTTACCAGCCTCACTGCACGGTTACCAGCCTCACTGCACGAGGTTGCCAGCATCTCTGCACGTGGGTTATCAGTCTAACTGTGTGTGGTCACTGGGGCTCTTACCGTGCAGCACACAGCATCACAGCCTGGTAGAAGCGTGACAGAAGCGCGAGGAGATTCCATGCAGGGAGATGGGACGAGAGGGGGACACAGGGATGGGGAGCAGGGATGGGTTGGGAGAAAGAGAGGAGGCCATGGATGAGACGAGGAGGCGAGATCAAGTAGAACGGTCGGCAGCAGTTTGCAGAGCTCCAAATAATCACACACCCCAGGTCATGCCGAGTCCTGCCAGGTCATGCCAGAACATGCCATGTCATGCCAGGGCACGCCAGGTCATGGCAGAACATGCCATGTCATGCCAGAACATGCCATGTCATGCCAGGACATGCCATGTCATGCCAGGACACGCCAGGTAATGCCAGGTCATGCATGGCAGTTCTCTCTACTCATGCCCGGAAGGTTAATGTGTCAAATTGCTCCTCTCCTGACCGAGTCATGATCCTCAGCAATGTGAACTTCTGCTAGCCCAGAGATGGATGGTTTGAATCAACACAGCTCAGCAGCACTAGACGTCCTTAACAGTCAACCAAGCAGCGTTCACAAACTATGATTGATGAGCTCGCCCAGAGAGAGAGCTACATGCTTTACAAGTCAACTAAGAAATCGCTTACACTCGACGCCGCAGCAGTCACTCACTGTGATCCATGAGCTCCCCCAGAGAGCTAGATGCGGCCGATCCTAGAGTCAACTATAAAACCCTGATATGCGGCCGATCCTAGATGCGGCCGATCCTAGAGTCAACTATGCGGCCGATCCCTGCAGTCAATCCAGCAGCGGTCACTCACTGTGATCCATCAGCTCCCCCAGAGGGCTAGATGCGCCCGTGCGCCGGGCCTGCTTCCCGTCCACTGCATCAAACGTCTAGTGTCATTGTGGGACGGAGGGGGAGCGCGGAGAAGGGGGGAAGGGGGAGATGAAATGGTTATGAGAGTTCTTAGAGGCGATTCTAATGCGCCGAGCCTGCTTGCCATCCACTGCATCAAACGTCTAGTGTCATTGTGGGACGGAGGGGGAGCGGGGAGAAGGGAAGGAGGAAAAAGTTAAAAGAGTTCTTAGAGGCGATTCTAATGCACCGAGCCTGCTTGCCATCCACTGCATCATACGTCCGGGGCCAGTGGTGGGTGGAGGGGGCGGAGAGGGAAAAGGTGAGGGAAGGGGAGGGGGAAGAGGGGAGACGGGGAGTAGGGAGAGGAGGGGGGATCAGAAGAGTGAGGGGAAGGGAGAGAGACTGAAGAGGTGGGAGGGAGAATGGAGAGAGAACGATTACCCTACCCATTCATTTCTTACCTGGTAGAGGAACAGGAGGACTGCGAAGAGGACAAGAATCGGGCGTGGCACGTGGGCTAGGAGGTCCGGAGAAAAGTACTGCGGGAAGGTAATAAGGGGAGAAGGGAAATGCAAGAAGGGAGAAGGGGAATGCAAGAAGAGAAAGGGGAACGCAAGGTGGGATGCATGCAGGGTGATGCGTATGAGTCAACTTACAAAAGTGGCACAAGAGGACAGGAGACAGGCACTGCGAAAAAGAGGGGAGTGACATTTGGTATGCAAGAGACTTGAACCCAGAAGGTTAGGTGGCCGTTACTGATGGAAGAGAGGGAGCGAAAGCTGGGGTCAAAGAAAAAATATGATTTAGCATCATGGGGGAAAGTGCATGAAAATGTGATCCAAGGGGAAAGAGGGGATTACACATGATAGGGAACGATGGCAAGTGAAAGTGGGGTGAAAGGGGAAGAGTTTACTTCTTGCATGAAGGAACACGTACCCAGCTCAACCCCACGGATAGGAACACGTACCAGCTCAACCCCACGGATAGGAACACGTACCCAGCTCAACCCCACGGATAGGAACACAAAGCAGAGCCCCACGACTGTAATCTGAGAGGCACCACGTTTTAAGGAGGCAAGGACGAGACCAAGGAAAATGGCAAGGGTGAGTCACGAGCGAGGGCAAGGGCAAGGCCAGGAGATAAGCGTTATGAGGCACTGAATGAGGGGGACGAAGCCAATATATGGCACGGTATGTTGCAATTTATGTTGTCGCATGGCATGGCGTGGCATGGTATGGCATGGCTGGCATGTCATGTCTTGCCAGAAGCACGCAAGAGAATAATACAAGGGAGGAATGCTTGAAAATCGAGTAATGACAACAAGATCAGTGAGCATGCGAGATGTGAAAGAACGAGCAGGGGAACGATATTATCCGGGGAGCGACGCTGATGGGAGCGCAGCCGTTGCTCACAGTGTTGGGACTGGCAGCATGATCGCGTGGTCGCACGGTCGCACGGTCGCAAGGGTCGCACGGTCCCATGGTCGCATGATCAGATGGTGAGGCGATGCGCCGTTGGTTGCACGAGTGATGCGGGACGAGATGCATGGAGATCGCGAGGGGATGGGTAAGGTGGGAAAGGGGAGGAGATTGAGACCAGGGAATGAAAATTCCCGCAAACGAATGCGTGGGGGGAAAGGTAAACGAAGGAGCGGGAACGAGGGCAAAGTGGTGGGAGGGGTTCTGGACAGGGAGTAGGGATCCAAATCGACGAGGGGCGACGGTTCGCGGAACGTCACAGATGACAGGACCGAAAGAGCCGAGATGGCAGCGGAACGAGTGGATCGTCCAGAACTGAACGTTGACTCGACAACGAAGTCACCTGGGTGCAGAATCACTGATGAAACCGAGGAACGGTAACAAACGCGGTTGAAGTATCAGAAGGTAAAAGCTGAGAGTGGGAAATACTCGCCTGGTTAGGCCACTATAATAAGATCCCGCCGAATCGCCTGATCAAGGCAGGCTGATCAGCACAAGGCCGATCAGAGCAAGGTTGATCGAGGGAACTTACGCGACGGAGAGCGGAAAGAGCAGGACGAATCGCGACCAGAAGGGCTGTAAGATGTACTTAGAGACAAGCGAGTGATCTGCGCCATGGTACTTGTATCGCCTAAGTTGCTCCCTCCCTTTCTCCCCCACGTAGTAGAACTTCACGGCCTTGTCGCCGTTCTGCATGATGGTTCTGCTAGAAACGACGCGTCGTTCCGATCACTACGCGAAGGGGAAAAAAATAACCATACGCAGGAGAAAGAAAAGACACACGGAGAACTGCACTAGACCAAAAGCCAAGAATCGATTACCCCGTCTCCCTCCCCTAGAATCTGGAGTCTACAATCAAGAACCTGAAATGCCAAATGAAAGATCAGGCACTGGCATAAGTGGTGGGATCACTGGGTTCATGTGTGTGTGGATTCCGAGTTAAGTGGGAATCGGAAATTCAGAAACAGGCACACAGACACAGGCTGAGGACGCAGTAAGAGTAGACGATCGATCTCTGCGACTGGTGTGCGGATCAGTTACCGTGTTTATGGACTTGTAACCATGCTACAGCTTTGATTTTGTCGACATATTGTGCACAAGTGGTGATTGCGACTGATCACTGATTGGTGTTCAGCTTTCCGAGGCATGACTCTGCAGATAATGTTCACGAACCAATCGCAACAGGCACGATTGATGTTGATGCCAGCGAAGTGCTGTAATTTCGCAAAGCGGGCGAATGGAGTCGTGCATCTTTCCCGCAATTTGGGCCTGTGGGCTGCGAATGTCGCTTCTGGTTGCCCTGTGGGCTGCGAAAGGTCGAAGGTGTCGCAGGCAAAACCAAAGTATCTGATGTGGAAGAGCCAAACCATCATGCTGGGGCGATCATTACAACCAAGTGGGCCCCTCGTTTCGCCAATCGACCCGCCCAATCAATTCTGGGGCTCAAAAAACAATCGCGATCCTGCGATCCTCCCACTTTTACCGCGACCTGAAACAGAAACACAGACTTCTCCGTTCCCCTTCCCTTCCCTCCTTTCCCTGCCAAATCTGATCAACGCTGCGTTCTGGCAAGAAAATTCAATGCGATGAACTGTAGATGAACAACTGTACGTCGGGCGCGCGGGTGTACACTAGACTTAACACACGTCCACCAGGTGTGGTGCGACAGCAATGCGACCAATCACAGGAAGGCGCGAAAGCGGGTGACAGACAAGACGGAGGAGGTGATTCTGGAATTTAGATTGATTTCGTGTAGCAGTGAATTGTCGGCGAGATAAAGTAACCTGATTCGCGAATCCATTGCGAGAAGGTTTCTCGCAAAGCCCAGGTTTGCAGCGTCCTCTTCACGCCAAATGATAGGGCAATTTTGGGATCATTTTGAAGTTGCAAATTCAAAAGTTTGACAGCAGCATCATATGGCGGGAAACCAGGACCTTGGAGTATGGCGCGGGAACCAGCAGGTACCGATCGGCACCGCACATGTAGAACCATCCCCACACCAGGAACCGAGGTTATGTGTGCTGCTGGTGTTGCACCATCATCTCATCACTCGGCTAGAAGACTACAAGAAGAGCTCTCCTAGGAAGTTCATGGTAGCATTCATGACAAATTTGACAGCAGCAGCCATTGTGCGAGAAATCATATTCTAGTGAGTCTTTAGCAAGCCTTAGTCAAACTCCCTACGCCGGTACCATCATTCAACTACTAGACTCCATTTGGCTCCCCTCGAGCTTGTTGGCGATAAATGCTTGCTGTTCTTTAAAGTTTTCGTAATGCGACCATAGCACCACCCAGTAAGGAGTTTCTCACTCCTTTTCTGGTCGAAGTTTCGTGGAAAGTTCACGAGAACGTCCGACATAGTCATGGAGAGGCAAGGGGATCACCTGAGGGAGATGAAGGTGCAATTCCGTGTCGAGGAGCGCAACGGTAACTACAGAGAAGCCTCTCGCTATGCTAACAAGATCGCGAACTCGCTCAAGGACGCGGGATCCTACCATAAAGCCCTGAAATGGCTCAAGCGAGACTACGAATACACGAACCGCGCGATAGACCAGCAACGGCACAAGACGAGAAAAAATCCGTCAACGTCAACGTCAACGTCAGGTCAAGGCATGCGATCTGAGTCCCAGGAGGATGAAGGAGATCTTCAGCGGGACCTGCTCATGACTCTTCAGAGCCTGGGAGAGATATACCTGCGGCTGCAGAACTTCCAAGAAGCCATTTCCTACTCGGTAGCGTTTGCTGCGTCGTTCACTCAACATACCATCACCATTATCACGTCGTAGTCATTCTCATAGTTGCATCGTTCAAAGTCAGATGTCTAGGACAAGACTGATTCCAGATTAAAGCTCCTGCCTCCACATCCCGGAGTTGGCTCTCGACCCTTCTTTTCCCGCCACTCCATTTTTCGCGTAATTGGGTTGCTTGTATGCGTCGTGTCACTTGTAGGAATTTCTCCCAACGTCCCCTTTCCGCTGTGACTTCAAAATTCCGCCTATCTTTCCCCAGGCACGGCAGAGACTACATGTAGGCGAGGCAAATGGCGGGCGTGGCGGAACAGAGTCATTCCAGGATCGAGACAGATGAAAGACGCAGTGAGATACGTGATAAAACTATCTCTCTACCCCTCCTCCCCCTCACCGATGCATCTCAGGAGCGGCATGGATGCAGGACGAGGTGGGGCAGAGTTAAGGGCTTTTCAAAAGATAAACCAGAGAGTATAGAACGCTTCCCCCTACCCGTCCTCCTTCTGCTCCTCTTCATGCACTCCAGGAGCTGCACAGATGCAGATGCAGATGCAGGACGAGGTGGAGCAGTGTCAAGGGTTACGAAAGAGTAAAACACGCTTCTTCCTACCCATTCTCCCTCCCTTCGCCTTCTCCTCGCATCACAGGAGCGGCACTACGAGCTGGCGGTGCAGATGCAGGACGAGGTGGAACAGAGCTAACAGAGTATGACACGCTTCTTTCTACCCATTCCCACCAACCCCCTCCCCACACCATCTCCTCGCACCGCAGGAGCGGCACTACGAGCTGGCGGTGCAGATGCAGGACGAGGTGGAACAACAGCGCTCCTCCACGCAGCTCGGGCGGGCCTATTTCGACTCCTTCACCTCGCGCGCGGACGCCGCCGCCGCCGCCGGCACCGACATCGAAGCCTCGCTCGAGCAGCAAGCCGCGTCGATGCAAACGCTGAAATCCGCGCGCAAGTATTTCCAGCTGTCCTTGCGGCTGGCGAAGGGCCTCCACGAGGGGGGGGAGGGGATCGGCGGAGCAGGCGCACGCGCGGGCGGGAATGGGAGGGTGAGAGGGGCCCGCGCGGGCAGGAGCGGCGGCGGAAGCGGGGGGAGGTCGTGGGGGGGGGATCGGCGGTTCGCGCAAGAGCTGGCGGATGCGTATAACAACGTGGGTCTGCTGTTTGAGGAGGTGGAAAGCTACGATGAGGCGGTTAACTGTTTCGATCGTGGGCTGG